AGAGCCTGCCACCTTCCTCCACCGACGGACTGCTTTGAGATTTAGCCAATTCTTTGAATCTTAGATTGTTCGAGTTCTCCGCGACTGATAATGTGCTCAGACTGACGGTGAGTTTTTCATTAGAAGTTCCACGTGAAACCCTTCCTTCCTTCACTGACTGACTGCTCGGCGTTCTCCGAACCAGTCCCTTTAGAAACGCGCGGCGACTCTCACTCGACTTGGTTTCCGATAAACGCCTCTTAGGCTTATTCGAAAAAGACACCCCATTATGATTCGAAGAAGTTTCAGACAGTCTTCTCAACAAAGATGGTTTGTTAGACGTGCGCGCGCTACCGTTCCTTGCGCTCCGAGGGCTTTCATTCAACGAACACGAGCTGTTGATCACCGAATCTGAACTCGAAGTCATGACTTTATGCATATCTCCATTGGGAATGTCTAAAACCTCGGCACTGTTGTTCCGGCTACGATTCAACATGACACCACTATCATTTATACTCTGTCGGTTGTGAAATCGCCATAGCTTGCTGCGTGACGGCGTCCGCTTCACTTTAGCGGTCCGCTTATCACTAGAATCCACCGTGACACTTTCTTTGTCACGCGGTGAACTCTGTCCATCAGACGTTACGTTCACGTTGTTTACATTGAGACTAGTAATGCCATTGCATTTTGGAGTTTCACCGTTGATGTTGGCTCCATCTGCCCTATCAAATTTACCGTTTTGGGCCAACAGCGAAGATTGTTTACTTCCTTTAACACCGTTTTTTCTTTTGTAAGCCAAGTATGTGTGAGTCTGGGCAATTTCGGTCAAAAAGTTCCCAAGGAACGGTACACAAGGGCCGTTTTCCAAACTGGCGGAGAGCTCTTCACGATACAGCCTGAAATTCTCACTTTCTCCCATCAGGATAGACAGGTCTCGAAACTTCCTGAGGAGGAGGAAGAAGATACAAAAATTAACGAAATTGGTAACCAAACCGAAAAAACAAACAAGCAAAGAAATTATGGGTTCTGTGACGTCACTAACTACGACTTACTCCCCTCCACTAAACAAAGCCTTTATCAAAATCTATTCCCCACCCCATATCATTTGTTCCAATAGATAAGAGTCTTACTTTTTCCTCTTCGAAGGCACCTCTTTCCAGGTCTCTTTCAGTCTATAGACTGGTGTGGACTGGAGACCAGCCAAAAGAGCCTTGAGAGAATTAAAGTTTCCCAAGAGATGGCACTTTTCGGCGATCTGGGAAAAGAAACGAATTAAAGAAAACATGAAAAAGAAGATAAAAAACGAAAACACGATAATGGCTGAGAACTAACACTAACTGTGAAATGGTAGATACCTGGATGACTTTGGAGATTGCTCTTGCCCGCCCTAGAGTTGTTTCCTGAGACAGAATTTCAGACGCAGCTAAGAGTGCGATGCGGTTGAAAAACTCCACCATTGCCATCACATTTGGGGAAGTCACATACTGTAATAAACAAGGAAATAACTTGACAGTGAATAACACAAATAAGTCCACTTATTTGGCTCGTCCCAACGTTCGCCCGCCTAATCGATCGTTAATTGATCGATCGATCGTCAATCGATCGATAGTTTTCGCCTCGTACTCGTTCGTACACTCGCTGTCTGTTATTGTTCATTATTTAGCTTGTCTCTCATTTACTTGCTGGCTTGTTCGTTGTTTCACCAACCCACCCTACAGAATTTAAGAGTGGAAATAAACTAGATTTACTCATAGAGATTCCGTCTTCAAAGATTGAAAAAAGATATGTTGTTGTCACACGATGCCGAAAAACTTTTCGACAAAAAAGCTCACAACTAGTAATCTTTTCGTGTGTGTTCCTTTTAGATATAAGCGTTTATTCTGTGCCTTGAAAAGGCAACAGCCTACCACGCATGCTTAAAACAAGCTGTGCGCGATTCTAAGGCTACCTCCACTCTAAGTTTACATTTCAACACGTGTCAGGATATCGCGTTGAAAAAAACTGAACACTGACGAGACCTATTTCTTTACCTTATCTTTAGTCATCCAGCCACAGTTGGCCAACTCAGGCCAAGGAATTCTCACAAACAGTTCTTTGTCAATAAGTGTGATTTCCCGCGCAAACAGCGAAGCGTCTATATCAACGAGTCGCTGAGAGAGATCTGGGGCAGAACTGTCGACTGAGTCGGGGCTCTGAGGAACCTCGCCTGTTGGACTGTTGACCTGGTTACTTGTTTCTTCTTCTTGAGAAGTGGCTTTGAAGATAGGGGACAAAATTCTCTTGACAAGCTTCTTCTTTCGCATGCTTCCTATAAAACAGACCAAGAAGATCAACGTTAGATCACAAATTGGCGAAAACTTAAAAGTATTCAAGCAAAAACCTTAGAGGCTCTTATTAACGCACTCGTAGGCAAAGTACATAACCGAAAGGAACCGAAATCCTTCGGAGGCTGACGATAATCGTACGTAAGCCAAAAATCCTTCGGTATCTCAGTGGTAACAGAATCCAATCCCCTTGCTTCCAGTTAAGTCGAAATTGATTTAATTGCAATCTTTTCGCCGAAGTAACTACTTGTTTAATTTTTTATGAATCCGTGGTTCGAAAATTAATCTTTTCTCAATCCTTCTACATAAAAAACAAAAATATTGAAAGGGGATTGGCTCCTACAAAATGAGCCGTAACCTTCATGTGAAGACTCATGTAAAGTCAATTTATTTTGTCTGATTGTGGAAAATTACAGACATTACCATTCATTGATCTACGGTTAGACTTCATTGAGTGACGCAAGTGTCACAACGGAATACGTGTACTTCTTAAAGTTCCAGTTTTTTTTTTTCAGATTACATGTATGTGGCTCCTGATCACGAGATAAAGAAATTTTCATCAGAGTATCCAAAGTCGTCCTTGATTTCACTTTAATTGCTTAACCTTGCATTGTGATTGGTCAACAACCCTCGACCCACTCTCTTGATCAATTGGACGCAAAACTACAGCCGATGGCGTTAAAGTCACACGCGTTTCCCGCGCTTCCGAGATGGTTTGCTTCTGTTTACCGTGAGTTCTCACAAGTTCCTCGCGACATACACATCATATAATTTTGAAAATGACAGGCCGTTGTGATTACTTACGGCTTAAAAGTCGCTCTCGAAAATTCTTCCAACAAGAAAAAAAATTGCAATTCCACTTCACTTTCCAAACAAAAGAGCAGATTGTGTTGTATGCGGCTAAAACAAAGCCCACATTCTGTGCCACCTTTGTCCTCCTGTTTAAAAAAAAACACGCGGTTTGATTTTGCGTGCTGGATTTGTCTGGACGCTTCCTTGAAACAATCTTCCCTTTGAATTAAAATATCAAGGCTGGAAAATCGAATTGCACAAGTTGAAAACTGATTCATACCTATTATTCCTCTTAAAGATATTTTAAATTATATCCTAGAAGTTGAAAAGGTCAAGCCGATGAAAAAAGTTTCCTTGTGTCAAAAGACACCATTTGTGAGGATTTTGAAAGGAATTAAAAAGGAACTTTAAGAAAAACTTCTTTCCCGAATTTTTAAGCGTTACGTCGCAACCAATCGCCAACGCTAAGGACTTAGGCTAAGAGAATCCTACAAAATGACAAGTACATCCTTTTAGCTACGTTTCTTCCTTAGAGTCATATTTCACAGACAAAAAATGACTGGCGGGTTCCCCGATAAACACCTGTTTTTATCCGCGCGGCGGTGAACCACAAAAAAAATGAATAAACAAATTAAAAATAAAAACCTCCTCGTTCTTTCCGATTTCCTCCAAAAATGCTCGAAGTTAATGTATCTGTAACTACGTGTCAACAAATTAAAATACAATGTAATATGCCCTCCGTAATTCGCGATTGAACATTTTCTGGAGGAACACAATGAAACGAGAAAAACAGTCGATGCTTTTTAACATACCTGGAATAATATCAAAAACAACCGCATTCATATTGAGTTTTGGGTCAAACCTACTTCACTGCGTCAAATAAAAGGCTATTTTAAACAATTTTCCTTTGATCCAGACGTCGCGTGATATCTTAAGGTTCATTCGGGTCAGTTGTGCTATCTAAGAGTTTTACCCAAATAAAGCTTTGGTACAAAACTTGTCTGAACTTCTTTAGAGCACCCCTAACATCACGCAAGCGTCACGCGCAAAATGTGCTGAACCTGACCGTTTCGTCACGTCCGCTAGATCACGTTACGGGCGTGACAGCTTCAAGTCCATAGCGTGTCAGTGTTCAAACAACACGAAGTTTGCCGCATGACAAAAGTATGCTAAATGAGATTTCGCGTAATTCTTTTCAAAAGTTACCGCGGGCAAAAAAAATTCGCAACATGTTTGTTAACACATTAACCAGACCTCCACAAACCATTTCTTCCCTTATACGTGAGGATTTATCAAACGAAAATTCTAGATATTAGTATCCATTGTCTTATTTGTATATGAGATATTTGTTTCTACAGGTTTCTACGAGCGATCGTGTCGCATTAAATCAAAGGTCAGAGTAGTTTTTTAAAATTAATTTTATGTTACAAGAAGACAATGAATTTCTTTATCATCCCATTGACTGGAATAAATCAAATTGTTAATTCTCATTTGTCACATATTCAAAAGTTTTTCTCGAGTATGTCATTCGGCGGTCAAATTCGTGAAAATAATGAAACCACCATCGACATATATTAAAACCGCACACTTCAGAAGCTCAAAAATTTCGAACACTGACACCGAACAAAATTACAAAGAAGCCGATGGTAAATATTGTAGCATGCGATCTAATATCATCGCTTAAGAGAGATTTTAATAAGTCTACGTTAGCAACAAACACATCTCCGAATATACTTACTTCTACTTCTACGTTGTAAATTAACGTATTGCGCCGCTGGCGCCATGAAACCAAACATTTTGGAAAAAGCAGTTGCTCCCGCGACAACTTACAACATTTCTGTTATTTTGTTTGGCGGCAAATGCTGCATTAGCACAGAACAGTGGGTTGTAAATTGTATTGTCTGTCGATTTTCCGCTAAGCACTTTTAATCCACCCAGAATTATCGTGAAATTTCGTCAGTCACGAAACTTATTTTAGATCATGTTTACTTAATTAACGCCACTGCTAGAGGCCGGTGAACAATGGCTTTTTAATCTGATTTGCGTTTTCAAGCTGGTTTACGAGTGGAGAAACAACTTAGTTTGAGAAAGTACGTGAGAGAACGTAAGATCGACGTTGTCACCAGACATCAATCACAACAATGACTCGGTAACGCAAATACGATGATTACGTCAAGAAAGGTACTCTCCACAGTTTGACAAAAAAGAAAAACCTGAACTCGCAATTTTTTTTCTACAAGCTAGATACATAACTCACGCCCAAATATTCTTTCGAGTGACACTGGCCTTGCTTAAGAAAGTTCCAGAAACGCTGGTTTGGTTAGAGAAAAGGCTATCACTCATGCATAAATTCGAATTGGTTGAATTTAATTGAATTAAGCGTAAACTTCGAGCATGACAAATGACCTTGAGAGCATTTGAAAACAAAGTGCTGTTTTCAGGGCCAACGGTGTTTAACTCAGTGTAGAATAGCCTCGATTTTCTCAACAGGCCATTTAACTCTCAATTTAATTGGCATTTATTTGACAAAAAATTGTTGGAGGATTAGAAGCCATGATAAAGCCCAAGGAAAATTGTTAATTTGTAATAGTTGAAGACACCGAACAAGGTAAAATGACACGAAGACAATAACACCAAAAAACAAAACCGAAAACACAAAACAACTAAAGGAATTGCATACAAGAAAGAGAACTTGCCAGAAACTAATTGGGCATAAAATAAACTCTTTGGAAACGTATTGTAAAAAAATTATTGCAGTCAGTTAAGATAACATCGAATACTCAACATTCCCAAAGAGTGTTTTAGGAAAATTTAAGCGCTAATTTCTTTCTTTTTTTTTCGATAGATTTTTTTAAAAATAATGAAGGTAACTTACCACTATACGAGAAACTGGGTTTTCCTATAGGAGTCGTTTCCATAGATGAGTCTGAGGAGAGAGAAAGAAAAAAGCTTCAATGCAACGTATAATATTTACATAACAAAAATACAGTGAAAACAAATTCTACAAAAATAAAGAAATAAAAATTCCTACATTTCTTCTCAATTTCGTAAAAGACCTGACAACCCATAAGCCTGGAATATTTCAAATACGTAGTTCGTTTTGTTCACTCTGGATTTTGAGATATTTGAAATGTTTGCATCAAGGACTATGAATATATTTGTAGGAATTATTTTATAGTTTACAGCTACATATAATATTCAATGTTATTCCTATTACTGAATGTTACAAAAATAGAAAAATCGGTTAGATTGACAACCAAAATTCAACATCACTCAGACAATTACTTTACATGTGATACACAATATCTTTCCCCATTGTTGCAAAGGACGGAAAACACAGGACAAACTCTTACAAATTCACCCCACAAAATCCTGCATTAGTTGCAAAACAGTAATCATATTTTCTTTTAAAATCCAGCCCTTCTGTTTACCAAATGTTTCACAGGAAGTTGACACGTGTGTAAAAAAACATCTGCTCATCTCATGTGGCAGTTTGATACTTGCGTAATGTAAAAAGTAAAAATACTTTGCAGATCCCCTTACCAGCCATGCAGCAATCAAAAATGTTGACATAAGAGTAAAAATCCCGACAAATTCAGTTGTATATAAGCCATACTGGGGGCTGAAAGCAATTTTTACCTTCTTTTGTGTTTCAAAGGGTCAGCAGAAAAAAATACCCATGCATTGTGTCCAATTTCCTTTTCAGACACAGTAGTGTTATAGCTCTTTTATGATACTATAAGCAAACTCCTGTTGACTGAAATTAGGAATACACCTCTTCAAAAAATTTATGCTTTATGGAAGAGTGCACTTTATCTCAAAGATGGTCTTCCTTAACAAAAAGCAAACAGTGACGAAAACCTTTCCTGTCAATGTGTTTCACTTAATACAATAAACTCCCAAAATGAAGTTTTGAAAAATCAGTGAATATTTGATAGGAAGAATTGCTAAAATGTAAAAAAAACCTCTAATGCTATGTCATTTATTTACATGCTTCAGTGCTACAGCTTTAAGAAACTGAAAGATTTGACAAATGACAACTTGTTGGGCTATAAGAGCAGGAAAACCCCATGGACCAAAAAAAACCCCTACACGTTCTGACCTGTATACAATTGTAATAAATTATGAAGGCTTCCCCTTGGCAACAAGACAATAAAGAACTCACATCAAGTTCTTCCTTATGTTTTCATTTCTTTTATATTATTTACAGTGCGCAAAAGAAACATGTTCTGTGGTGAAATATTTTGGAATATCTCATTAAAGGTCAAATGTGAATGCAAAGATAACCAGAATCTTTCAACATTGCACAACAGCTGGGAGATATCATGTTACAGTATTTATAAATTGAAAGCAGCTAGAACTTACAAATAGGTAATATCACTGACTATTTCACTGAGTAAACTGCAAATATACAGTACCTACATGCATGTGAACAACACATACTACAGCCCTACATCATTTCTGAACAATTTTATGGACAAACAAAAATCCTTTGGACAATTATTTAGAGAATAAACACTTTTTCAGATCTCTACCTTAAAAAAAGAAGAGCTAATTTAGTGCTACAGTTTTGTGTTTTAATCCCTCACACTCAGGTGAGAAATATTCAACACATATGAACTTAATCAAAACAAGAGACTGACAGCAGCAAAGACAATATTGCAAAATGAGATTTTGAGAAGAAATGAGGCATTATTACAACTTTGAAAAAACTTATCATTGATAAACAGTACACTGTATATCCACATCTTCAAGTAAATGGTCTGGAATTTGCTAGAAAAACATATGAAAGAATCATACTAAATTATTGCCACAATTGATATTTGAAAGTTTCAGCACTATCCATTCTACAACCAAATTAAAAAACCTAAAGGCTCCCTTTCAATTTCATCGCCTATCACAATGTGATCACATAATTATAAGTCACAACTGGAGCAAAGCTGGGATTAGACAGCAGATTTCTGTGATGTCTTGTGTAACCAAACAATTGAGATATAGTTAACACATAAGAACAAGAAGCCAGCAGCAACTGAATCAATATCTTGCTACCAGCTTTTAAGAAGGAATGAGGCCTCAATATTTCATTCATTCCTTAAGGAAAAAACCTGAATATCAATAAACAATAAACTCTTATCTACATCTACTAGTATATGATCCAGAATTTGCAAGAAAAGCAAATGTATAGGCCACATTAAATTACATCCAAAATTTATATTTGAAGACTTCAGGGCCATTCTTGCCTATCCTGATCTTAGTCACAACTGAAGCAAGGGAATTAGACAGCAGATTTCTGTGACGTCTCTCACAACAGGAAATTACTCTAAGTCAGATATTTTCACACAGTTCTGGACCCATGTGGGCTGATTTTCTTTGAATTAAAGATTTTCTTATCAATTTCAAATATTAATATTAAAAAAAAAACGTGGCAAGGCTTCATTAAAGCTTGGCTGCATAGCGATTTGAACCTACACATTCCTATAGAGTGCTTTGTCACAACTCGCTAAAAAGAAGTCACACGAGAAAAATATTTTTACCCAAGAGAAAATGTATCAAAAATCTCACCTGTAACATCATCCAGAAAGTTGAAATAACACAGAGGTATTGAAAAACAGAACGGATTTTCCAGCAATTCATTCTCAGGAGAAAACTCCATACAAGAATGATTGAGTATGTAAGTCTTCCTTGAACCAGACCACATTTTAGTCACATCCAAAGATCCCACAGTTTTGATTTTAACAATGAAACGATACAAATGGTCAGGATTCAAGAATGAAACCATTGACGATCAGCAATGTATGGTTGTGGAGCAAAACTGAAAGGTTATTTTTTAACAACATCCTGATAGAAGAGCATCAGTGTCCTCCGTCATGTGTGATATCTGAAACTGCCGGCTGTTCCTATTTCAAAACATCATGCAATGATCTAATCAAGGTGGTATTCAATCCCTCTAATGCATTTAGCTTTTATTTCATGTCACTCTGACATATGACATTCCTCCATCACGTTTGCATGTCTTTATTGAAGAGGGTTCAGATTTAACTTAGGTTCAACTGAAAAAAAATCTTTTAATACAGCTGATGTCTTAATATTTAGGAACAATGATCATATTTGTCTTGAGAAATGTTTCAATTTTTCTTTGTCTTTTCTTAGTTGTCAAAATCAATCAAAATATTTTCCTGAAAAAGACCAGAAAACCACCTTTTGCCTTCCTTCTCAACTGATTCAGGAAGGATGAACAAACCTCAACGACAAAACAAGATACAATATCATAACAAGCATACCGACAATTTAGACCTCCCTCAAGCTTCCCACAATTCTTGAGAGGTTTCGAATTCCCTTTCATAAAAGAACAACATTCATCTGATCATGAATGTATGACCCATATCCCACAATCTCTCTTATTGGTGAGTAAACCAATTTAATGTACCAGAGATGATATACAGGTTCTAACAAGCAATGCTCACGAAACATTTGTTAAATATTAACAGCTTCAGTTTTAACTATTGCCAATTTCCTCCTTAACCCTTTTTACTCCCAAGATCTCATTAGTAATTCTCCTTACTGTCTGTCATACAATTCGTATGATGTTAGTTTGGAGAATTTGGTATTGGATCAACTGATAATCCCCTTACTGAGATTTTTCTTTATTCTCGTCACTTGCCTGCTTGGTATTGTATGGATATTATAGGGAGAAATTCTGTCTTGGTCACTCTCGAGAGTATGGAGCAGTCCCCTTGTCCCAGCATAATCCATTGCACAGGTCAATATGCAGCAGCATGAAAATTATTCTAGCCTACACAAACTCTGAAGGGAGGGGAAAGAAAAACTGGGATTTCTTTATCTTGGCATATTTCTATTGACATGCACAACAGATTATGCTCAGAAAGAGGAACTGTTGATAATCTACCTCTTCCACTTTGGCATCTGCCAAGTTGAAAGATAATAAAAGGTCAGAAATTTCAGTTTCTGAACTAAACCAGTGGATAATAAAAACAAAAATAATCAAACAGTATCCTTTTCAAAGCTTTGAGAGTACATGAGGATTGCACCCTAAGATTTCCTATCCAACATCAAACTTAGAAATGCTTTGGTTGACAAAATAATACACAATACTGGTACCACATTGAAATACAAGACCACACAGTAAGTTTTTCACCAAATGACTAAACCTACATATAACTTTTCTTAGTAACAGGAAATAACATCAATTATTGGTAAGTTAATAAAAAATTGAATTGGATAACTTTCAATGTATTGGCCACACATGATATTTTTAAACACTGCTTCCTCACATCTAGTTTGTCACAAAACTAACCTAGAGGATGACTACAAAAAAGCAAGAAAAAAATCTATCATGATATTGCAAACATCAACTTTCTAACAATTTGGATTTCAACATTTGTTCTCAAATAACATCAATCAATTATTTAATCCATAGTATATGAGACCTCATAATATAGAATTATATAACATCTTCTGAAAAAAATTGCAGAGCCTGGCCTAGTAATGGTCTCAAATCAGTGCCGCAAAAAATAGCAAATAGCTCTTTAGAAAAAGCATAAATATAGACATAGGTCCAAGCGGCAGGAGAGAAGACAATATATCAATTAATGCCAAATTTGATACTTAGTGATCTCAGTTGTCTGTGGTTACATTTAATATATCAGATCATTGACTCAAGTTGTGCAAGCAAGGACAATATATATCAAAATAACATAGAGCTAAACACCTACCGCTGTCTCTAAGTGTATTACATGTAGAATGGATGCTCTCAGCTCCAGAGAGAACTGGTGGAACTGAGAACTCAGACCAGCATCAAAACTGATTTCTGTACAATGTGATATTTTGGAACCTTTCATCACTTATGTTGTGCATTCTATCTACTGTAGACACTTTTTCACATTTTTGAGACAGAACCAAAGCCATAAGACAAACTCTTAGGTAACAATATAAGAAAAAAAATCATTGTCGGAGAATGCTTCAAAACATCAAATCATGACCAAAATTTTCAAAATAGGTTTGGGCACCTCTGAGAATGATCAATACTCAAATTCTTCTTACAAATAGTTTTCACCCACAATCGAACAGACAGGTTTGAAAAACTAAGGAAATGATGAACTGATGTATCTTGTCAAGATTTACCGGTAACAACAAATTTGTGGGAAAACCAAATAATAAATTGAATAAGTTAGCAATATCAGCTTTAAGGTGTTGGAAAATATCATAAGGAGGTTTCAATATCCTTGTAAAAATAAAATTCTCATGGACAGTTCTTACAAGCTGAAAACAAGAGAGTAACTTGCTTCGCTAAGACCAGTCATCAACTCAAATTCCTCTGACAAATTTCCCCTCAAACCATGACAAAGAAAAAGTGTAAAGGGATCTAAATAATAATCTATTTAATACATGTATATATATATTTTATATACCGGTACTTGCATTCTGGAATCTTGTTCTGTTTTGTATCAATAGACATCTGTATAAATCTACAATTTCCTCTGGTGCCAAATTTTCATTATTTTCCGACCCAAAATCTTTCATCTACATGCATTACTTATCCTGACACATTAGGGCAAATAAAAAACATCTTCATATCAACCTCTTAGGCTAATAAAAATTCAATGTAATCAATTAGAGCAAGATGATAGAAGCTCAAGTGTAAATTGCTTTTATGAGAAGTTTAATTAATGACTCTTGAAAAAAATAATAAAAGTACATCCTGAAAACCAAAGTATACTCTTGAAATTATTTCAAACACAAGAGAGACATTTTAAAGCACACCATAAATTAATGAATGAACAATTAACAGTGCATGCAAAGCAGTGTTATCCTTTTTAGGCAGTGAACGGTAAAATTTACCACCTGTAGTACCTTTACTACTGCCTAAATTGCTCAGGACTCTTGATATTCAACAGGTAAAAGGATTGCTCTTACTCTCTCTTTAAATTTATCTTTTTTAACCATTGTGCTTAAAATAAGGGAAAACACAGCTAACAGCCAAGTGGAAAGTGCCTGCAAACTCTAAATCCCCAAAAAAATTCACTTACAGTTTACTCTTCCTGAATTTAAAACTCTCCAAGCTTTGTCAAGATGAGATCTTATATTTACTTCCTTAATTAACCAAGAATGAAATTTTCAGTTTTACAGAGTTGCTGTTGTGGAAAGTAAAAGAGATTGATATCCACATGACTCATATTTTTGGTGTGTTAGGTTTCTCTCAACAAACAAATTCATTTGAGAGGAGATTTACAAGTGATATCAAGTTTTATACTTTCTTAGAAATCATGAACTAATTAGTTGTTTCAGTTTCCATGGCACTAGGGCATTTAAACCAATTTGTTAAAATTGAACAAACTAGAAGGTTAATTTGTTTTGGTATTTTTCTCAAAATCTATGAGATCAGCAGTATTAAAAACATTTACAGTGTGTTTTGTTTGTATAGACTAATGGTACATTTTTAAGGCCTGAATACATTCTACTTGGGATGAGCCAAGTCCTGAATTCTCTGCATTTTCAGTATTTTTGGAAATTTTTGTAGAAAGTTAAGAGAAATTCAAAACTTGGTCAATCTATCCTTAACACTTTCTGATACTAACCTTGCTTGCTTTGAACTGGTGATGTTACTGTCCTTCGCTCCTCACTGGTTGATATTGCTCCAGTTGCTTTGTCTTTTGGTATAGCTGAGAAAATGCTGCTTAGCCCACCACGGCGAGCAACTCCAGCAAAGCCATTTGGTGGTGACTCAAATTCTAAAACACTTGACAAATTGTCATCATCATGATTGATACTATCAAGGTTTTTCAAGGAATCGTCATCTCCTGTTAATTGTGTCTTTAACTTTGGTCTCTTCTTAGATAAGATAGTCCAAAACCTTTTAATTTTTTCTTTGCGAGGTGGTTGACTGCTGTCAATCAAGTCCACTGCCATATCATCTTTGAAGTCTAACTGCCTCACTACCCCAACCTTTCTTCTCCTCTCCGAAGCTGAATGAGAAACATGTGACAAATCAGGTCTCTTACAAGAGGGCAAAGATTCTGATCTCTTTTCAATCATTTTAACACTACCAGATGAATCTGTCTCTTTTGGGCTCACTGAAGCATCTGTTGTTCTGGTTTCATGGGTATCCTTTACTGATATGTCTTCCTCAATTGACTCCTGCTTGCCAAAAGTAGGGCTGCGGCAACTCCTTTTTGTTCCAGAGTCTGATGGCATAGAGATCCTGTTGGCCTCATTATTCATGGCAACATTAAGGGAGTGTTTGCGACGGTGCTTAGGCGGGGTTAGGGTATCCCACAATGGTACATCTTCATGTTTACTCCTTCTCACAAAATTAAGATTAGAAGGATGAGAACGCAGATTTTCAACTTTCTGCTGTAATTTGGTGAGGGTTGCATATTTACTGTGCCCCTCACATTGTTGTAACATAGAAGAGTTCAACACTAGACTTGGACAGTCTGTACTACTTTGATCTCTACTCCTGCAAGCATAATTTTTCAAATCTGAATCTACACAAACATTCTCCAAGTCACTACCGTCTGGCAACGAAGGGAATCGAAAAGATTTGGAGAGAGATAATCTAGGATGCGAGTTCGATCTATACAACGATTCTGCAGTGAAACTATCGGAAAGATCGTCCACATGGATTTTTTCCAAATCGCCCTCAAGCTGAGGAAGAGAGCGTCGTTGACCAATAACTTGTCTACGTACTCTGCTTGGGTTCAACATCGACATAGACCACATGGAAATCGTACGTTCGACAGAAAGAGTCAAAGCATATCCCGGCATTTGAATTTCTTCACCATCATCTTCCTCGCTGCAATCATCAGAGTCGGAGTCGCCTTCCATTTCACAGATACTACTGGACGGGATCATATGATGCCCTCGGGGTTCTTCCACACTAAAACTCCGAAGCCACTTCGGCCAGACCTCTTCCTTGCCGCAGAGTTCGTACCTTTTCCACGATGAAGCTTCTTTGCTCCATTTAGCTTTGAAAGTAAACGGACTTCCCTGACAAACCGTCATGCTCACGTCTGAACGCAGAAATTTCTTAACTGTTTTGGCTGACTCGTACTGAAGCACATGAGTGTCTGATTCCCTGAGATCTCTCATCTCTTTGACAAAAACAAACTCATCCGTCAATAAAATATGAACCGTCTTAGAATAGTGATGCTGGCTGTTCAGCTCCAAAAATTCGCTTTCAATCAAAACTTCGCCCTCCGTGATCGCGAAGGATGCCGTTCCACCGCGCGGAACTGAACGGATGTTGTTATTCGCTCCACACAAATTTTGCTCGACATCCGAGGCCATTTTTCTGTCTTCCTGTCCTTGACTCAAACTCGAGACCTCGTTGCGTTATGAAACAATAGTTTTGATGTAACGTACACACCTCTGAAATAAGATAAGGCAACGATTGTATTCTTCCCACGACAGCTCACGCCGTGTAAACAGAATGAATGGCCGTCATCCGCCATGTTGTTCCCCTAATCCTTGTTAATTATTCATGTTTATGACGTAAGGGTCATCATGAATAATTAACTTGTGACAAATCTTTGACGAGCTAAACATGGACTAAGTATTAAATCGTTTCACAGTTTTTCGACACTCCTGCCTTAGACAAAATTGAAGTACATTGGGAGACGTAATCAAAACAATAACTTTTTTAATGTCATGAATATTTTGTGGCAGAAGAAACAAAATAGCCCAAAAAAATCAGCAGGAGAAGGAAAGCTCTTGGTGGCAAATTAAATAGAGTAAAACAGTTGTCTGCGGACCTGAAAGCACTAATGATGTTGACGTATTCTTAAAATGTCGCAATTTCTTTTTTCAAATAGGACGTTTTGGCTTTTTGTATTTCATTTTTGCCTCTGGATTTGATTTTATTGACAAAACGTCACGTTAAGTCAGTAGCAGTTTATCAGTACTTGCTAATAGCATCTTTTTTTTTTTAACGTCGGCATTTTGATTTTAAGCCCAATTTATTCTACCTGTCGTGTTTCGGCTCCACTGTTTTAGCTGCAGTTATTAGCATAAACAGACACGAAATTAATTTTTTTAAAAAAAGTGTGGAGTTTGTCCATGAAAGTCTACATAACATGTCAATGAGCTTTTTCTCATGCAAGATATTCAGTGTTTCTGATCTATTTTTTCCATGCGCAGAAAATGTTGCCAAATGTTCTGAATATCTCCTTTTTCAAAGTAATCTGATTAAACGGAAGAAAGATTCAAGTTGCTCCACCGACACTTATGGATAAATTTGAAACACAAAGAAGTAGGTTATTTTAGTCGCCGCAATTTTGCTGTATCAGTCAAAAATTTATTACGTAATAGAAAATCTATAAACGGACACAAATCTACGTAAATAAAGAAAAGAGCTTGCCTTGGGCGCTTTGTTTTGGCCAGAGATAGAAAAGATAGGAAAAAATTCCACTCGAACGCAGGAAACATACAGAGAGGTTGTCTCGAGATAACTTAGGAAAATACGAGGATTAACGAGATAAAGATGACAGACCGCAAAAAAAAGAAAACTGAAAAATGAATAGCTAATGTAATGAGCTAAAACATTTGCATTTCCCAATTTTCAAGTATTATGTCTTCTTAAGCTTATTGCGTTCAGCCAAAAAGCCGCAGAATCCATTAACATGTTCGTGTTTGAATCCTTAGCATTTTAACGGCTTGCGTTTCGCTCTTTCCGGTGTTCAAGGTTGTCGTTACCTCACCAGCTGTTGTTAGCTTTCGATTCAAGTCAAAGACAAAACATTGCGTGCTCCGCTTCAAACACACTCAGTATCCTCGCATGATTTCCTCTGTAATTACAACCACATGGGCTGTTTTATTAATTTCAAAAATGGACCCAGCGGGTAGAATATTTTCTTTCGGTTTCAATAATAATCGAGAACCAAGCCCCGTTATCGCTGTCAAGCGTGAGCCTTCATAATCCATAAAATTCAGACGGATGGGCGCCTAGTGCAAAATTTAGTCAACTAAGGAAGATGAAAAGGTTAGGTTTGTTTCGCCTTTTGATTCTGGCTGCGCCGTGCGCCCTCGGGCGGATCGGATCTGAGAGTAGGGTAAGGGGGCAGAAACAGGGTGGGGTCCTACCGTCATACGGCACCAAGCCGGCCCTCTTTTTCCCAACCTTGTTATCGGGATCCTCTCACATAAAGAGAGAGGACCTGGAAACGAAGCGGTTTTTCGAATTTCCTTACCTGAGCCACACTGAATTGTTGAGTACTTTTATCAATTTTTTTCTGAAAAATGTCGCATAAATCATCAGCGTGAAAGTACGGTTCCCACCGATACCTGTGTAAGGATATGCAGGAATGGGTTGCTGGGTATAAAGTATACGGAGGCTTCAGCTTATGGGCGTGGTTATTCTTCAAGTATAGGGATTAGCTTTTACGCTGTGGATAAATTGCACTATGTGTTGGGAATAATTTGTTCTATTGAAAACACCTGAAAAAGAAGTGCGCTTAATTCATATGGCAGGCTTGTCTCAATTTTATTGTTTCACTACCGATAAGATGGTTCCGGCTGTTAAAAAAGGTGTTCATTTGTTTTCGCTGTGCAGTCATTGTTTCCTTACTCGGAACTGGTTAGATCAAATGACCACCACAAACCGTATAATATTAAGCCAAGCTTTAATAATTATTCGATCTAAAAGAAATACATTTATAATTCGCAATTAGAACAAACGCAAATCAAGTCTTTATCTTGTAACTAAATTAAAAAACTTCAATATAAACTTACTTCTGTGGCGGGTCGTTACAACAGCCTCACTTTACGGGTTAGCAAATTCTCCAGGTAAGCGGATTTAGAGACAGAAAAACGATAACAAAATAACTTCTTTCTCACTTTGATTCTGCTGAAAAACTGACTTAAACATAATAATCTAACGCTTTTAAATCAATCTATTGAATTAATGTCAATCACGATTCTTGTCATCGAATAAATCTGTCAACACGAGGCAACGCCTATTTATTAAACGAAACAGTCATAATGATCTATCACTCAAAAATTATCTAGTATGGCTCTCACAAAAGACTCTACAATATCCACTTCACTCAAACCACGAAAGGTTTTCAAAGTAATCGTTACTTTTTGCTCTGTTTCCAGTTGTTCGCATCGATGGAAGAAGTGATGACGAGTTTCACTTACAAGAAAGAAAAACAAACTGTCCTTCGTTATTTATACCACTTGTTCGGTTGATATTGAATTGGTTTTGCCTAGCTACGCTCTTTTATTGATACAAACAAAAAACTCGTTTCATCCTCTAAAACAACCAGAAACAAAAGAACAACTACTTGCAAATTTCACTTGCGTTTTCCAGTGCTTGATGAGTTCGTTTGCATGCCGAGGTAACAAATATGCTTATTTTTCAGACGGTCAATTTACCTTAAGTCAAAGTTCGATTCAAAACTACGAAATACAGCATTACTGTGGACCAAAGCTTCAAAACACCTGTATTCTGTCATTACCCCAATCAGCAACAACGATGTTTCCCTGTTTCGTAACAGCCACTCCTTCTGGTCTTTTGAACTGCCCTCTCTTACTCCCTTCGCTTCCGAATCGGGTCATAAACGAACCGTCCTCGTTGAAAATTTGAATACGATGATTATACGAGTCGCTTACGATGATGTGATCGTCGGCATCCGTAACTACTCCAGTTGGCCAGTTAAGTTCGCCGTCGGCTTTCCCGCTCTTTCCGAACTTGAATAGAAACTGGCCTTTCGAGCCGAAAACCTGCACCCGGTCGTTTCCGAAGTCAGTGATGATCACGTGGCCTTTACTGTTTACTGCCACAGCTGAAGGGCAGTTGAATTGTCCTCTTCCATCGCCAAGGCTACCAAACGTGAATAGAACTTGACCTTTCTCGTTGAAAACTACCACTCGAGCTTTGCCGCGGTCTACGACGAAGATACGACCTTGGTTGTCGACAGCTACTCCGTATGGCTGATAGAGGCGCTCTCCTTCCATCGTTTCTTTACCAAACTTCTTAATGAACTTTCCGTCTTTCGTAAAAATCTACAGAGAAATTGAGTAATTTTCAATTGGGCGTCAAACTCAGTCAGTTAGGCCAATTGTTTTCTTGAGGACATGAAAAGTGCCTTGCAATACGATTTACCTGGATTCTATTGTTCATGGTATCTGCTACAACAATGTCCCCCTCACTGGTCACGGCTACACCGCTGGGGAACTGGAAATGACCTTCTCGACTTCCGGGTGCGCCGAAGAGGAACTGGAAGTTTCCATCCATGTCAAAAACCTACCACACAAGCACAGGGAAAAGACATACTAGAATAAATCCACAAAAATAATCAAGCGTTGTTGAGCGAGTGCGAGCTTAAGACGGCTATATTTTGACGATTTTCTAATTACCATACTAAAAAGCCTTTCAAAATGATTATGGAAAACTTAAAAACCTGTCAAATCAAAATTCTTCAATTCTTCACGCGCTGAACATCGAGCTTGTCAAAAATTAGTATTGGAGACTTATTATTCAAACCTTTTACCCCTAAGTGTGACTTGCAGCTTACAGTATCCCTCCTGAATAAAACATTAAGGTTGCGAGAGTGACAGCAATGATCGTGAACTAAAGGAGCTCTTAATTGACAGTGAAACAAAATTTTCTTGTCATAACAAGAGGAGATATATAGAGAACAGTATGGAAAAAAAAAACGCACACTTGCGTTAGGATGTAAAGTTTTTAGGTAATAACATCACTCACCCTAGTAGAAAAAGCCGACTCGATATCCAACCCTGGAGCATACATGTTCCAAAGTCAGGATTTTTCAGGTCAAATTCGAGGGTGTGTTAATGATTTCACGGCCTGAGTGAGGAAACTATATAACCAAACACTGGACAGTACAGAATCCTTCGCGATTTAAAACACAAGTACTTTAACACCTGAAGATTCAGTCATATTTGCTATTTGTGGTCATCAATGTGCTTTACTTACCTGCAGACGATGATTCCGCGAGTCACTGACGATAACATTGCCATCTTCACTCACTGCCACCCCCTGGGGATCTCCTAACCTTCCAAACTTAGACCCACTCCCTGCGATTGCTCTCTTGGCGCTTCGAACACGAGGCCTTATATCACCAATATTTATGTCCAGCGGAAAGCCTTCCACGACTTGTCCGCGAATAAACACAGAAAACGAGAAATTTCCATTAAAGAAAGGATGATATGCAGAGAATGACTGACCATCAGCTGAGGAAGAAACAGAACAAGAAAAAAATGACGACATTAAGTTTACCTTACATAAATTATATACGATCCACATACGAAGTGACCACATTGTGAGACAACGATTATATTTCTCTTTTGAAGTGTTATTTAGCCCGATGAATAACCACAACCTATTTTACGACATGAAATATATACCTCTTATTACTAAATTTAAAACTCCGATTATTGCATTTCTACTGTTACATTGGCTCACTCGGCACTGGTTATCAGCTTATATATATACCGAGTTACCTTGTATGGAAAATGATTTACCCAATATTGTTGCCAAGCTGGATTTACTTTTGGCTGGTAACAATCACTTCTCCCGTGCAATGTGGATCATTTTATTTAATAAAACAATTATTTTATTCGCGTCTGTTGGATACGAGATTTGTTATTGCCAACGCGACGCTACACACCTCGTTAGCTATTTACCATCCAATATCCGACATTTACTCACGGAATAATTTTTAACTAACTGAGTTCGAGGTTCGCATTGTAAGTTGCGGACAGAATTTTTTCCGCTTAGATTTATCGCCTTAGCACAAAGCATGCCGAAGCCATACGAACAACAAAAAATTTATTCCATTGAAAGAAAGCACTAAATTACAACCATCGCTGTTAAATCAAGGGACTGAATGACACGATTTTCTCTCTTCGGGTTATTAAACATATTTTTAACTGTTCTCTAGGCGAAAATTAACTTTCAATAACAGCGGAAAATTGGGTCGCGCTGAGAAAAATAAATTCAACTACAGGTATCAAACTCACAGTAACCCAGTGACAGAATACTCGCATAGAAATACTGTTCATAGATCCTCAATTTTCTCAGTCATTAACAAACTGAACTTAATGAAGAATTTAAAATCAGTGAAATGGAAGAACTAAGTTTCACAAATTTTACCACTCGTAAAAATTTAAAATTTCAAACCATCGTTTTTGACATGAAAAAGGACATCCGGTTAGAATGAAATATAAGGACGTAACTCGCCTCAAACTTGAGTGCAATAATTTTCTTTTAATGGGGCTATCATGCCAATAATGTTGTGAGTGAAGTTTTGTGACGATTGAAACTAACCTTAGGGGACTGAAAAATATCATCTGGGCAAGATAGGAAAATATCAAAGAGGCAACAAAAACCACGGTTGGCTACGGATGGGGAAGATTAAACAGATCGAGCGCAGTGGACGATCTAGATCTGCATAGGTAAACAACAACTTACCTTGATGAATTGTCTCGGGTGGTAATAGAACCCCATTGGGGTCTCTTAACTCCACAGAGAGGGGTACCTCTCTTGTAACGGTATCTTCGCTGTACCCGTTCGTACTTCCATTCATTGTTGGCGCCACCTCCATGTCTTCCAGTACTAAATGCGGCCCGCTGGTTTTAAGAGTTCCCAAAGAGTGAGCGACCACAGGCTCTGCTTCCTTACTGTTTACTTCGTATTTGAGCTCGGAGTTTTCGTGTGGTTTACAATCAAGTTTTGTATTATTCAGTTCCGTCAACCTTTCTGTTATGGGAGTTTTTAACGACAGCAGTTCCACTTCGTTCGCGTATTTTAAAACCTGCTCTGAAAAATCACATCCTGTCTTAAATTTCGTGAATTCATCTTGGAGCTGGTCTTTTTGGCGTTTTAAAATAGGCGACTTTGCGTTGTAAATTTTGTCGGCCTCCATTAGTAATTGTCTCTCTTTTTCCTTTAGAACTTTGATCTGATGTAAAGTGGCCTCCCGAATTTCAGCTTTAACTGCCGCAAGCCTTCCTCGCAACGTGTCAGAAATACTTTGGATTTCCTTGATAGACTTTTCCAAAAACGGAATGTTCCCCGAGCACTCTTCAAACAAATTCTCCATGACAGCCTTTTGTTTTTGTATCTTTTTGGAGTCTTTAATGTAGTCGTACTTGTGTTGTCGATGTTCAATCAACACGCAATCTCGGCACACAGCTTCATTGCAGGTCTCACAATAATATTTCAAGGGCTCGCTGTGATGTATCCTACAGAAAGCAGGACGGTGTAAATCCTCGCCAGTTTTACTGGCAAGAAGTTCGGAAATTGTCAAAATCCTGTGTTCTTTCGTCTGGCGAATCCTTTTGTGAACGTTGTAGCAATTCAGGCAAAGAAACTCGCCGCAGTCCACGCATCGAGAGGTTGCCGGAGAGTTCAGCGAGTCGCAATTTGAGCAAGGAACCGGTTCTCTGTCGCTCGAGTTTATCAAAGCAATATCCAACATATTATCGAGAAAGAAATTTGTCGGTAGATCTTCCAATTCTTCCTTTGAAACTTTAGCATCCGTTTCGCACAGCGGACAAGCCAGAAATTCGCCCGGAGCGAGTTTCTCTGCAAAGCCTCGGATACAAACTTGGCAAAACGAGTGTAGGCAAGGCAAAAGTTTCGGTGTTCGAATTAATCTCCTGCAAAGTCGACAGTTTAGATGTCTTGCTATGTCTTCCACGATGACTCCGGCAATTATCGAAGACTGGGCCATTTTCACAGAGTTCTCTCAATAAACGACTTTTTTTCGCAACCGCGCTAAAAGTTTTGCCTTTCCAGAATCCGTTTCAAAAAGTGAAACCAGACTCGTTTTGTGTTTTGACTTTGAAGCAGTCTTGTTAGCCTAGCAACACGATAGCAACCGGCAGAATTTAATAACGCAGCTCGTTAAATATTCCGCATAAAAGAAAGATAAGAACTCTGCGGATATCAATAAATTATGATATTTTTGCGAGTTCCTCTTGGCGGCTTACGTAAATATTTTGATCAAATCCCCACAAATCATCTCCTCAACAGATTTCCTCACTAAATTTAACACCTTGTTAGTATGTCACACTTATAGTTGCTTATTTTACAGACGAACGAACTCTCTAGCTATTGAATATCGATTTTGCCACCTACGGCCATATGTTGCCATACAACAGCTTCGCTCAAAATTGAATATGACAAGTAACGAGAGAACATTAAAAGTCATTTGCATTTATTTGAGTATTCGTTTGCTGTGATGCCAATATGTGCCTCCTTCAGAGACTGAAATTAAAATCATCTTGTCAGTATTGTGCAAGAAATCGGAAAAAATCCCGACTTCAGCGCAAGAAATTCTATATTATCTTTGGCCATTACTCTTCTAGTTTGCGCCAACTGAGTCTTTTTTATTGAATATTGAAGTGTCAAAAGGTTTTTATTGTACATATTGGCTCTGTGCTTTTGTTTATCTGTTTCAGCTGTCTGTCAAACGCGTCTGTGTTTGTGTCAGAAGGGCAGGTGAAACTAAAACTACAACCAAACTAAGCCAACCCCTTCCCCAAGGGCCTTTGGGTTTTCAAAATGGCGGCGCAAGAGAAATTTGAAAACCGAGATGCTCCTGGGAACAAGATTGCTGCGAAATTGGGCTTTTTTTTATCAGAGTTCCAGAGTTCACATCTTGTAGGTCAAGGGAAAAAATAAGCAGTCTAAGACTGCACGTAGCACAATTTTTGTACCATTGAAAGAAACTAGAAGTTTTGTAATTACGCCAGAAGGTAGTGTTGCGGAGATGTGCATTCACATGCAAAAAGAAGACCTGCCGCATCTTACATATTTATGAGTACCCTGTTCCACATGAGAAAGACGATTCAAGAATAGACTAGTTAAGTGATTAATTGGAATTCAACCAAGAATTAACTCGTAACATATGATATTAATAATATTTGTAATAATAATAATATTTATAATAATAATAATAGTACTACTAATGATACTCCAATAATGATTAAACTAGTCTTCTTCTACTTTTGCCTGTTAATTGACACTTACTTTAATTCATTGCAGTGAGACTTTTGTTTTATACAATAAGACATTCCGCGTTCTAAGATATTCCGTCATTCTGCCATTCCACTGTCCCATCATTCCGTCGAATAAGGTCACCTGTTAAACTTCGGACCTTGCTCGCTTCCCAAATTTAGTAGCTCTTTTTTACATTAGTTGCTAATACAAATGATAAAATGCTCCCTCTTCAAATAAAGAAAGTTTTACGCACCGGAGACACCGCTATGGAATTATTTTGAGATGTTCATTTTCTTTTGTTGTGTCACGTTAAGAACTGGAAAATTGTATCAACGGATCTACTGGGAGTAATTTTCTGATTCAAAGGGTAAAATGCTCCTTCTTCAAAGACAAAAATTTTCGTCCAAGTTTTCATGATGCGCCGATCACACCTGATAAGATATTTCAGCAAGGAAAAGCTTTGTTTTTAATCACGCACCATCCTGCGCCCAATAATCTCTGATGAGAATGTCTAACTACGAAGATACCCGAAATAAAAAACAACTAACAACAGGTCAAAATCAGGTGAAGTTCCGCATTCTGTTGTTACTTACCATCACTCGTACCCTCAAAAGAGAAACGAGATCCACATTTAAGCAGAGCTAAAAGAGCGAGTTTTCACAGATCCTGAATTATCGATAGAGGACAGGTGGAGACAGTACGCATACACTACAGTGCTTTTAGATTGCAAAGCAAAAGTAAATTTCAACATCCAATCAGAGTGGAAGAAAATACCTTCAATCAAAGTTTTCCCATTATGCTGAAACAAACAACAACCCAGTCCAGAATAAGACTTCCTCGTGATTTTATTTGACATCTACTTACAACTCTTCGATACAAGCTCCCAAAGCTCTCTAAAGGGCGTAGACATAGCAATCTTTCCGGCGGAAAAAAACCCTGAGACTGTCTCGACAAAATGAGGATGGAAAAAACATCGCACGATAGCCGGAAACAAAGTCACTCCCTAAATGCATATTTACAATTGCAGTTAAAACCGCCAAAAGAAACTAAAAGAACAAACGAAATCAGAAGTATGTGAAATATCTTTCGCGCTTGTTTGCTCATCTATGGCGACGGCGATCTCTGTCACGCGATCTCGAACGTTTGTCACGTGATCTTGACCTTCGGTCCCTATCACGCGATCTTGACCGTGACCGTCTGCGTCTGTGGCGTTTTTCTCTGGTTTCGCCCTCGTAATCATCTTTGTCGCTGTAATGGTGTTTACTGCCAGTCGACCTGAAGTACATAGGAGTAATTGTCAACCAAAAGAGTGAATAACTATTCAAGATTGGCTAAACTCACAGAGGTCTTGCAAAAAAAAAAATAACAAACAAACTAGAATTGGGCAGATATTTACCTCCTTTCTAGTAGCTGCATTTCCAGTCCTTGCAAACAATCCTGTAACGACTGTACGAGGACCTATCATAAAACCACAGTAGTCATCAATCTACTGTTTATTCTGTCATACTAATTTGTGCCTCAAGTAAGTCAGGAACGGACGAGTCAAGGACCGGCTTGTAAATAGCCTACAGAACAAACGCAACTTTTTTAAAAACTTCTTTCAGTCGAACGGAGGCAAGCACGAGACGAGCGCGAAGTGCGAAGTGCTTCTCACCTGCCGCGTGACTCGCTCTTTGCGCTCGCCTCGCGTTTACCTCCGTTCGTCTGAAAAACGCAAAAAAATTGCGTCTGTTCTGCCGGCTAGTTTATACATTACGTCGACTAACTCCTGTTACGAGACGTTTAGAGAAGAGTTCCGGGACAAAAGAACAAATGAGTCAGTTGATTTGTGAAAGCTGATCGACCAGTTTCGTCGTGATATTATTGGCTGTAAGAATCACAGAGCGAAAGTTTGATAAGATTAATCAGTTTTGATTCGAGTTAAGTCGTTCTATTCGGTTTGTTGGTTATGATACTGCTCCGAAGAAGTCGTTAGCAAACTGTAAGATTTACCTGGCATCTCTCTTCTGCAGCCGTTGGGGATTGTTTAATAAGCGATATGGCTCCCACTAGTGTTTCAATTCCACTCTCATAGTCGCCTATTCGATGAAGAAAAAAAAAAAACAGTAGCTTTAGCCAAAAATGCGTTGACTCGTATATAGAATATCAGAGCTCCAATTAAACTGGCAAGTATTCCTGAAAACTGCACCAAACGTGATAAAATTGCCTGCAATATACATCGCAAATAACAAACGTTTTGAACAAGGAAACTGAGGGCGATTCTCTCTATGAGATACTCGTCAAAAAAATTCCATAGACCCTTGAGACCTGTACAATAGTCTATTTTACAGTTGCGTGCTATTTTTTTGCAAAATTTATAAAGAAAAATAATGATGATAACTTATTTACTTGTATAACGCATCTTACCAGCATTAGCATCGGACATAGCTCGTTTGATAGCGGTGCTTGCAAGCATTTGATTTCTTTTCATGGACTCACTAAACTCATCACCTGCAAAAAATTAAAGACACCAAAACATATAAGATCACATTAAAATCATGTTGAGTGTAGTACACGTTTACCTACAGATGAGTAGTTTGTCCTTTCAAGAGAGTTAACACTGCTTACCTGGCCTTGGCAAAAATTGTGTTGCACCGACACCTGTAGTTCCAGCTGCCAAGAATGTCTCTGGCTAGAAAAAAAAAAACAAAAATGAAAGTAGGTTACAGTCAGATACAAGTGAACATGTATCACTCAGCACACATCACATGTGTAAAGCTGTACAATATCACAAATATTTTGCTTGTGTCTGATGAAATGAACCTTACCGGTGGCCCCTCAGGAAAGAATGCTGGATTCACATGTGGTGCAACGGGTGCTTTGGGGAATCCTGGAACCATACCTGTAATTCAACAAAAAGGATTAACCCTACACCCCTTAGGAAGACTCTCTTCCAGTGCTTTCAGTAAGACTTAAAGAAGGTAGCTACCTCGGTAAAGCACCTGCCTGAGAATGATATTAAAAACAATTTCCCTCTTATAATCCTATTACTTCAGTTCAGAATAAACTAGTTTCAAACAGAGTTTTTGGTGTTAAACTTCCGTAGATGATCATCAAATATTCGTCTCCTTTATAACAATTGTTTAACTGATCAATTTATGTCTGAACAAATTCTTCTATTTGCTGACATACAAGCCTGCTTCCAAAGTCTCACTTAAAAATTTCTCTGAAAGGACATATAGTTACTGGTTACTGAAATTCGAGCCAATTTATTAAAGTTCACACGGCAACCAGGTGGACAATCAGACACAGTTTGACGCTACACTGGTTTGCAGATTTAATGAATGTAACCGAAGAAGTTACGATTCATAGACCCAACGTTTCGACACTCCTGTCTAGTGCCTTCATCAGGGGTGATCTAAACGCTGCAACAAGAGGACCTTTTATATGATCACTAATTAGCGGCCTTTTTTCTGACGAGGTGTAAATAGGCTTCAGGAAGCAAACCGCCATCGTCACGATTTAAAGGAGCGTGGGCGGAGTTAATATGCCAAGCCTCCAAACAAAGGCGCTGGTGGTAACGCCGATTAGTGGTGACAATTGTATGGTTGGTTAGGCATGTGTGCTCCGATAAAGCTGAATTTTCCTTTTAGCAAAGATCTAATTTCTCCTTACAATCTCACCCCTGAATCACACATCAAGGTCATGAGAATAAAGGAAATGATCAACAACTGAGAGAGCTCTTGACTGTTAAAAAATATCTCCGTGTCAATACCTTTGGAAATGTTTAGAGACAATTATAAAGAAAATGCAAACAATATTCCACGCCACAGTTGAAGAACTGATTCTTTGACTTCCTCAACTAACTGCTCAGTTCAGAACACATAAAAATGAAGGACTACAAAAAGGAGGAAAGGAGGGAGGGGAGGGAAATATTTACATACCTGCAGCTCGATGATCCACCATTGGTCCAGCTCCGGGTGGAGGGGGTTGCTACGAAACAGGACAGTAATATTAGCATAGAGGATGTTACCCCTAAATTACATATTTTAAAAAATGATAGAATATATACAATTTTCTTTAGGATAAAATAATCACGGAGGGAATGAATATGGGGAATATATCACAAATCTTGGTCATCAGAGAGGACTAATTCAAGTGGGGGAGGAGAGGGGGGAAGAGGCATTTATTACGTTCACTGAAGATTAGACAAATGTTCTGTTATGATTAGAGATTTTCCAAGTCTTGCAAAAAAAAAAATCTTCAAACCTTACCTGTGGAACATGCATTTGAGGTGGCATTGGACCAAGAGGTTTTTCCACTTGGGGAGGTTGCATCATTGGATTGTAAGCAGGTGGGTGCTCTCCATAAAAAGGTGGCATTCCAGGAGTGGGATGTCTTGGCATTGCCATATGACCCGGTCCTGTAACACAATGACAGGGACATGCTTCAACTTGGAATTAAGAAAAGTTTGTTCACTTGTTTTTCCCTTTACATTCTTGGTGGCACCATGGAAAATTTTCTTCCCTCTTACTGGGTGTTGTGATTGCTAAGGTTTTCATTAAAATAGAAAAAAATACACACAGACAACTGGCACCTTTGATTTCAAAGACCAGAGCCTGTGACTCACCTTAGTGCTCAGCTGTAATTGACAAGACACCCAGATTTTTATTCTTCAAGTGATAACAGAACCTTTTATTTTTGATAAATGGAACAACAAAGGAATAAAACACAAATAAACACTCTTCTTACCCATCCAAGGTGCTCCACGGCCCATATCCCCGGGTGGAGGTCCATGCTCAAACCCTCTTCCCATCCCTGGACGCACAGGGAATCCACCCCGCCCCCTGAAACCTCCGCGGTTGTAACCAAACCCTCTACCACCTTGTTGATATCCTTGGTTTTCCTGTTCACTGTGGCTACCTCCCCCACTTCCAGGATTATCTGTGAAATTAAAAGAGAAATGTACTTGGTAAACTTTCCAGTATTGCTGATTGGTTAGCGTGGCCTGCTGGGTGGAGTGAGTAAGTAGATTAAGTCCATACTAGTGCCAAGTGACCCATCTAGGTGGATATTATCCTGGTTTCCTTAACATAAAGTGACAAGGAGTATCACTACTCTCTGCTGGATGGGATACTAGTCCATCACAAAGTTACCCCCAGCATTTCATCAGGATTCTCTGACAATTTTCCATGACCCATTTACACTCCTGGGTGAAAAGAAGCACTGTAGGAGAAGTGTTTAGCCAAAAAAAAACAACAACACAATGACCTGGCCAGGTGTCAAACTTGGACATCTCCCCCTTGAGACCAGCCCACTAATCATAGGGCAACACATCTCCCAAGTTATCTAGGTGAGGATTTCCAGGAAAGAACTGAAGCTAGTCACAGTGACAAATGTTTCCAAAGAATAAGTGGATATCATAGCAGAGTCCAATAAGGAATTTTTGACAGTTGATTGCACCAATTCTCCATCAGATACACAAATTGTACTAACTTGATTAGGAGTGAGGACACTGGGGAATCATAGTGGAGCCTTGTCAGACAGAGAGAGGTTAATTCAAAATGGGTGCTTACTTCCTTTTTTAGAACTAAATCCTCCAATGTATAGTTAATCAAGCCACAAAAAAGTAAAATAACTTTAATATAATGCTTCTTACTTTTCCTAGATTGAGCTTCAAACTGTTGCAAAAACTGTTTAGTAGCTGGTGTGACAACTGGATATTGTCCATGAATCTCCCTGATCAAAAAGAAAACAAGAACAGAATATAATTCCTGCCCACTGCTCTAACGTAATACCTTGTAGGAATGGGGTACAGTTCTGAAACCTTACATGTGTTGTAGGCTGCCAAATTCTACATCACAGGAGTTAATTTGGTTTAATCAACTGAGGTGATAGAGTAAATTGGCCACTTTAAAAAATTTCTTAAGCTGATTTTCAATGTTAGTCCTTGGTCAGAGTGAATAAAGGAATTGTGGGTCTTGATTTTATGGGTCTTGGTTTTTATACTGAAAGATGAAGCAACACAATTGATGAAACATGATATTGTGTAAAACACAAGTCAGAATAAATTAGTGGAATGAAAAGCATTTCAAGATACTGTGGGGATTAAGAGTGCCAATTTGACTTTCAGACCTGCTTAGATGTAAGGAAAGACTGCAGACTGTCATGTGTTGCTTAAAATTATTTGTGAGATTATATTTAACATATACTTACATTTTGGGCAATTTTTCTGTAACAAGTAAGGCTGATGTCTCAGAGCCAAGCTCAATCATTGCAAAGCTGAAAGTTGGGGAGAATGAAATTACTGGTAAATACTTCTAATTTTTGCCAAACTTTAACCCTTCACTCTCAGCATCTACCATTAATTTCCTTTAAAACCATCAAGGAGAATTTGATGTTGTCTAAAGAAGTAACTCCTCTCTGGTTGTGAAAGTGTCAAATCAATGAGCAAATGCAATTTAATCATCCGTGAGAGTTTAACATAATTTAATGATGATGAAACAGATCAGCTTTAAAATCATAAAGATAAAGATAAAATGCAAAAAATTCAAGTGCACTGAAATCATAAGAAATAAATTAATTTCACTTTTTAAACCAATCACTGACTGTATTCAACACACCTTTTACAGATACTCACTTGTACATAGCACCAACAACCCTGGCAAATGCTTGCTTTTGTTCAATGTGAAAACAATTACATGCATTACAATGATTTTTTTTTTCATATGCTGCTGTTGAAGAATTTGGGCAAAATAGAAAAGTTCAACAAAAAGTGTTTTATCTGTGCAAGTCTTGTTTTGAGGATATCAAGAGAGGATAGTCTAGATTCTCTGAAACATTTTTTTTTTAAAAAGAGAACAGAGCTACCTTTTGTAACATAAAAAAATTTATTTCTGTGTCACGTAATTTGTCACCATGTTTATCAACAACTCATTCTTCCTTCTTAAGGTGATATTTGGCAAGTGTTTTTAATCTTGTCATTATGATAGAAATTGTTATTGTCAACAGCACTTAAGATTTTTGACCAGACTGATACCCTATCTATAGAAAGAATCCAAAAATAAAAGAAAAGAGATCTTGAAAAGTAACTATTTTGAGGCACCAAGCACTAAGAAAAGGATCTACAGACACACAATGAAAAAATTCTGTGATGATGAAGAGCCAAGGTTACTGAGAAAAATTTTACAGCCATAGTAATAATGCATGATGCAAGATGCATCCAACAAGTGAAGCACAAAAAAATAATAATGAATTGCAAAAATTCAATCCAGTTTATCAATAAGAAATTTCAGTTTATAGGAATTCAAAATTTTGGTGAAATCCAATGCTATCAAATTGGTAGAGAATTTCAAAAAGTTGGAAATTTATTTGCACAAAGCCCTATACACATACAATCATGTACACTAGTATTTACAAACACAACAACTTTATAGCTTGAGCAGAAGGCAATCCAACACCTCACATTGAACAACTTTGGATACAATTAACAAATTCATAGTTGGAATATATCAAGACTATCAAAAAGGTAACACACTGTGTGCCATGCCAGCACAGCATATTAACAAGTGTACAAATACCCGTTACATTAGTATTAAATGGTAAAACTACCCAGGCAGCTGGAATTGTTTGCAAGAAACTCATTGCATTATTGCTTATGAGATGCATGTTAAAACTGCAAAAAAAATTAACTGGAAGGTTGAAATCTGCCATATGTCAAACATTTTTTGAGGATTTAAAAGGTAGGAATTTCCCAATGGTTAACCTTTTGACTTCCATAAGTGAGAGATTAGATTGAGAGATAAAGGCATCTTTGCTCCAGCTGGGAAGCATAAAGCATCCACCCTACAAGAGGCTGGTGTCTAATCTCTCCTTACAGCATCACCCCAGAATCAAACTGTTAAGCCAGAAAAATAAAGAAAATGATCATCAACTGAAGAAACTCTTGATCATTAGACAAATTCTCCTTGTAAGCACCTGACGAAATGTATAGAAAACAGTTTGGAAAATATGCATACTGATTTCAGATTGTAACAGGTTGAAGTGTTGAGGCCATGATCACATCTTCAGCAGAGTGGATTGTTTCAGGGTGGAGAGCAACCAGAAGAACAAGCAGATTCACAAAGCCAACTTAGAAAATTTTTCACCACTTTAGAATGCCCTTTAATGGAACTACAACTCTCGCATACAACATTTTATCATGTTTTGGGTACCACAAATTCTCAACTTTGCACCTGGCCAAGGGGTCTTCAATAAATTTTCTCAAGAAAGAGAGGGTTGAATATTTGAAAGGAAGCTTTGTTTTAGGTTTTCCATCCCAAAATATGTTTTTATCTTTAGGATATCAAAACAAAACTGTTTCAAAATATTAAAAAAGAAAAATTTTCAGTTTAAGTGAGCATGGAACACTTTTTGTCTGTTGGCAAGGGAAACTGTGTTGTTTTCCAGGCAGTATCAAATGCGCCAAGATGAGAATAAGAGAAACAATAGGAGCCAAGAAAGGAGTGTTTCTTTGGAAGTTTGCTTCCAATTTGGACAAAGCATAAGTTGCAAGTAGATTTATCAGCGTACCTGAAATGCATGTTTGGCAACAATTTTGTTGCAACTTCATGCCTGAATTGATTGAAACAGTGATGGAACTCATTTTGTGCATGTTGAACAGAAGAATCAGTATTCTACTTGAAAAAACATTGCCACCCATTAGAAGACCATCATATTGACACACATTTGTCTTAAGCAGAGCAGTTAGGAGTGTGCTGTTGCAATTATAGTAGATTGTCACTGATATGTACAGTATTCTGTGTTGATTGGTTGTCTGTGGTAATTGGGTTGGAAGTTATATAATATTGTAAAAAGGTGTCAGCGTATTGTAAAATGTAGCAAAGTGAATTCAAAACCAGTTTCAACCCTTCCAGTTTATTTAAAATTGCAGGTTTATCACAGATTGGAATAAAAGACATATCGAACAAAATTTTGCCCATAGACAATTCAATCTGTATGTAGTTTTCTGGAGACAAAACTTTCTACTTACATTGGAAATACACCTGTACAGTTTCAAAGTCATTTTACATTAAATTTGTATTTAAGCTATACACAACTTGCAATGTTGTAATTGAGCATATACAAATCCTACTGTACATATAGAAAAATACAGTCAAGTTTAATTTAAATATATTTACAAATTAGACATTTAAGTTCTTGTTTAAATAAAGAGCCATAAAAAATATTTACTTGTATGTTTCTCATTTGTCGTTTCTTCTATGGTACAGTGTTAATTGCATTATCTCTCTCTCTCTCTCTCTTTTTTTTTGTTTTACAAAAAATATTGGAGTATTTTCCCTCTGTACAAATTGTTTTCCAAATTTTTTTGACAAAAGTCAATCAAATACAAGTGAGATTTTTTGGTAACAATTATTCTCGTTGGCTAATGAGTTTTCTTTGAAGTAAGTTAGGTGAATTCTTCCTTCCATCCCGTTCCCAGAACCCACTGCTATCCATTGTCACTCAATAGCAGAAAGAGCTGTGAGTAGGTAACACAGAGTCAGTACATGATTGCAAGTGAGTGCTTCCTTAGGTTGCCTCTAGAGTTTATGTTTGACAGCACCATCCACCCCCATCTTCAGGGAGTTAAGCCCTGGGTATCTTAAGTCTTTGACTCTGACTTCGAAAAAGATTTAAGAGACCCAGGATGCTCCTGAGTCTACCTGTTGTTGGTGATAATGGCTGCTGTTTTGGTAACTACAGTGAAAGCTCATTATCAGAATCATTACTTCACCCTGATCAAGACTTCCCCTACAGTTGTCAAAACATAGCTCACTTTCACCTTAAACAGTCCTCTCAGGACTTCCCCCAGAAGAAATCACCCTGTAAAATAAAATTTACCCCTGTGTTCATCCTGCACACATCACTGCCTCATGTCTGCCATTATAATTGATTGCTGTGCATCACAAAAATAATTGTACCGACTCATAGCCAAACCATTCTCTATTTAGCAGTTTCTCAGTTTAAGTGGTTTGTAACAACTGAAACATTGACAGCCTCACTTTGTTTCCACCTTATTTAAGCCTTGACTTATTGAAATGTTACGTTGGTGACAGCTTCTTAAATGGTTATTATGTCCGACTTGTTCTTTCACATAAAATTAGTGATAGGAAAATGTAAATAAAAAATGTACAATACTGAAAATGTGTTGTTGAGACATCACTAGGAATGTTTGATGGGCAGATCAATTAAAAAAACCATTCTTAATGGCTCAGTAAAGGGTTTATATTGAATCAATTAGAAACCATCCACAGTTTTATTATCTCCTTAACTGATAGTACATAACCCCACATAAACTAAAAGGTGAAAAAAATTAGAACATTGCAATGGATGATGAAATATTTGAGATCACATGAATACCTTGCACACACACACAAACCCTGACTTTACTACAAATAACATTCAGTTTATAAAATTTATTGAAAAACAATGAGTCGCTGGACTTAACGACTAAACCAAAAGTGGTAGAGAAGTTAAATCTTCACTGTCACCTACTCACCCTTTGGATTGACCATTTGTTCTGTTTTCAAAGAACTTAATGTTCAGCAGATCTGTTACACCACACTCTTGCAAATATTCTGTTAATTCTTGATCATTTGTCCACTAAACAAGGAAAAAAAAACAAAAATCCATTCAAGATTTAATTTTCCAATGCTAGGAACAATAAATTACCTGCAATTCTGATATTTGCACATTAAAACAACATGAAATGATTTTCAAACATCTTAACACCATCTGCATGACCAAAAGCCCTGTTTTACAATGATCACTTTGCTTGACATTTTCCCTTACAGCTCTGAAGCCAGAATGGTACTGCTTAGCCCTTTAACCCCAAAGATCTGATTGCTAATTCTCCCCTGTAGCTGCTACAAATTTCCTTGTAAATTAGTAATCAAAATTTTATGTTAGATCAAGATAACAACTTATATCAGATAAGTTTGAGTTACTCTTTGAATCTCTTTTGGGAGTTAAAGGATTAAGACCTAAGACTTAATTAAAACTCAAGAATTGTTCTTTTCAAATTTAAGACAATAATAATAATAATAATAATAATGATAATAAAAGGAAAAACAATTTCCTTTCCAGGAAATTAAAAAAGTGATCAATTGCCCCCAAACATGGTAATTGTGATGCCTTAATGAGTCATGATAAGGGGTTTCAGCAATTCTTTCCAAAGAAAAAAGAAAAATCATCCCCTCAACTCCAAATGAAGAGGCAATCCAGGTGGAGCATTCTCTCCTCAGATGTTCTGGGACTGAGCTCAGCCTGTCAGCAATCACAATTCACTTTCAATAAACTACACTAGCCATTGATGATATTCTTATTAGAAATCTAACATACCCATGTCAAATTGCCAACATATAGGGGTTTTCCTTTGTTTCTTTCATAGTAGGTGTGTGAGATCCGTCCTGCTGCTGATTTAGGATGGACTGTTGTGTATGATTTGTATTCATAAACTCCTATAGAAAGACAGTTAAAATCAAACACATATTATACTCTCAAGTGAAAGACAATTTATCGAAATATAAATTAGATTATTAACCTTCCTTCAATATTTAGCACTATGTACCTTGCTGTACTGGCATGGCTGGTTCAGGAGCAATATCAACTGCAACGACGTCGTCTTCATACTATAAAATTAATGATATTACAACTCTTAAGCAATAAGTACAGTTACAGAATGCAGAGGTTTCATTAAGGGGCAGGCAATGGGCAAATTGACATGCTGTGACTTTGCCCAGCTGCTTCATCATATTTTACATAGGTGCCCCTACTTTAGCAAGGCTGGATGCCTAGATGTCATATCCTGGACCCTCTTACAAAACATGCTTTATAAATGTCTCATTCTGTAAAACACTCAGAAAATATAAAATTAAGCATGTGGAGCATCCTGTAGCAAAATTGATCTGTTATTCCCACCAGAGTCAAAATATTAGAAGGTTCCTGAATACAATCTAGTCAGAAACTGCTACTCTGATTGAGTGCTTGCAGTACTTTCCTTATTTTACAGAGAAAGAACTAAGTTTCCAAACTGGCGAAAATGTAGTATTGGCAGATGAATTTTCAAGAATCCAAAATGTTAGCAGGTACTAATAAAGAGATCGCAAGTAATTCAGCATTCAGTAAGAAGAACATTGAATTTCAAACAGGAAACACCAGTTTACTTTAAACTAGTAACAATAAACAAAGATGATTTTTTTTTTTGGAAGTATGCAGGTTGCTAAGGAACACAAAGTGCAGAAGCAATCGGTCATTACAAAAATTCATCATTGCTCTATGTGATGTCATGCAAATACTTGGCTTGAGTGTACAAAAATAAAATAAGGTCTGATAGAACTCTAGGTAGATTTTTCCATACATGTGCTTGTAGTGCTTCATCCTCAACTCCTCCAGTTGTTAGTACATCATCATACAGGTCCAAGCCTTCACTTCCAAGATGCTATTGATAAAAAATGACAGAAAGTTGTTTCATATGTGCAAGGCTTTCAGGAATGTCTATCATCAGTGGCTGCACTGAGTGGAATGGTACTGAGAAATTTTAAAGGATCGATGTCTTTCTTTTATCTCTATTGTACTAAAAGGCCTGTTAACCCTTTAACTCCCAAGATCTGATTGTTGATTCTTCCCACCAGCCACTACACATTTCTTAGTCAATAAGTTACAAAGTTTGGTGCTAGATCAAGATAACAACTGCCTGATAAGTTTGAGTATTCTTATTACCTGTTTGCTGGTTAATGAATGGATATTGTAGGAGAAGTTACATGTTAATCACTTCAGGAAGTAAACAAGATAAGCAGAAGAGGACCACTGCTAACCACCATTTGATGCTACCCAACCACTAAGGCTTTATCTTAACTGACACATTTTCTTCAATCAGAAATCCTTTCTTTGAAATGCACTATTGCCCATTGCCCAAGCTTAAATGCCCTAGAATCAGTGGATGAATTAGGATTTTTTCTTTAAAAAAGTGAAGTTTTCGCAGATTGTGGGCCTTTATAACACAGATGTTTCAGTGTGAAGATGTGGAGATGGCGTTTGCAAAGTTGATCCTTCAAAGAAAATGGGAAACTTCCAATTCCATTGTTTTAAAGTAAAGGATTACCAAAAAGAAAACTCAAAAGCACATATGCAATGCAACAAAGTGACAGCAAGAGTACAAGCAGTCTGACGTGCCACGTGAAAAATTAGCTGACTTATACTTTTTTCAAATTGATAACTTACCAAACCTTGTCTTCTTTCAGAAAATTTAGACACTATCTTGCAAAGGACATACCCATCGTATTCCACAATAGATATTTTTTTTGCGAATTTACTCATAAGTAACTTACTCAAAAGGCTAAATATTTAGTATTTTTGTTGGTTATTTGCAAGTCTGTCAAACAAAATATCTACGTACGCGCGGTAAGTTCTTGGAAGCTAATAAACTCAGCACCTAAAATGATCTCTAAATCGTACCTGTCCTGTCACTTCTGGCTCAAATTCATCTACTGTTGCATACAAATCAATGTCAACACCACCTTCACCAGCCATAACGTAGACTTATTAGCCGAAAATATACCTCAACAACCACCTCAAACAATATGGCGGCAAGGTATCGTGGACAAGCATAAAACACGTGTTTTCAGATTTCAAGGGTTTCTGGGAGTTTGTAACGCCTGGTGAATTTTGACAGATGCGAGTTAATGGTTGACTTCCACTTTATCGATCCTTTCTTGTATTGTTAAAATTACTCACTCTTTTTTACATCACTAGTAAAAAATTGTTCTGATTTGAAATACTGGTAGCCGTACAAGCGTTATGGCGCACCGGAAACTGAGATGTTTGAAACTCCTGCCAATTGAAAGCATTAGACTTTCACCTGTAGCTACTTTTGGGCATTTTTAGCTGGACAAATTCAGAACAACGATATCAGGATGCCTGCTAAGATAAAAGTTCGCATCGTAGCTGCTCGAGATCTCCCTGTAATGGATCGATCGAGTGACTTAGCAGACGCCTTTGCAGAGGTAAGAAATTTCTTAAAAATCAATAACTCATGCATGATTGTTTTGTTTATATAATATTCCTTTTGAATTTTTAAATATGTTCTTACATGAAATCAGTTCAACGAGGAAGCCTTAAAGAGTTGTATAAACTAACAGAAGAGCTAAATTTTGCGTTAAAACTATTTCTTGTATTAGGTTCGTCTTGGTAATGTGCTGTATAAGACAGATGTGTGTAAGAAGTCACTTAATCCTCAGTGGAACTCGGAGTGGTTCAGATTTGAGGTATAAACTTTTATTGTTAACAATGATGGATATGATTTATCATAAAAATAATTTTTTCAGAAAGCTTTAATTTATCATAACTGATCATCTTTTGGCTAGGCTGATGATGAAGAGATTCAAGATGAACCTCTGCAGATCAGGTATAATGAATAGTTGTGTAAATGAGGAACATACAGCTGTAGCTAGTTGATTCTACCTAAACAACCACCTCTACAAGACAGACACATTCCTTTATATGAGCTCTTAAAGTTAGCCCTTTAACTCCCAGATAAAATTTGTAATTCTCCTTACTGTCAACCATACAGTTCCTATAATGTTTGTTCTGAGAATTAAGTATTGCATCAACTGAGTATCCCCAAATTGATATTTTTCTTAATTCTCATCACTTATCTGGTTGATATTGTATTGATATTATAAGGAGAAATTCTGTCTTGGTCACTCATGGTAGTTAAAGGGTTAAGTGTTGGGAGTGTTACTGCTTGAGGGTTTAATACCAACCTGACCTGACTGGGCTAATAATGGTCAGGGGCTATTTCTAGTTTTTTGGGCATGCTGCTCCCCTTTGGATGGGGTGGAGGGAGGCACAGTGGTCTTATATGATTAGTGCACTGGACTCAAGGTGTAGTGGTTCAGGTTCAAGACCAACCTTGCTCCTAAGGTCTCTCTTCTTCCCTTCCTTTTGGGAAGAGGGAGCGAGAGGAAGGGAAGAAGAGAGACCCTGGAAACAAGGTTGGTTCAAGATCTGGCCAGGTCATTGTGTTGTGTTCTTAGTCTTAAAACTTTAGTCCGCAGTACCTCTCACCCCCCAATATTATTGCAATGCTTCATGGGGATAGGCTGTGACTGGATGGGTCACTTGACTTGAATACAGAATTTACCACCAGATGAGATGCTAATCCCCTTTCTCCTGTCTCCCCTCCCCCCTCTCACCTCTCACATCCCCCTTCCCTAGAATTTCATCTCATGGGTAGAGAAAGACATCACAAAATGAATCCAAAAATGGATTAATCTTGACCAGGGTTGGAAAAAAAGATGACTTTGTGTGCAGTTTAGTTTGCTGAACAATCTGAATATTAGCCTACAGCATCTACAACCAGTTAAGAGTAGCACAATTCTTAACTTTGATTGAAAACCCCGAAGGTACTAGAAAAGTAGTGCCATATATGTAGGTGTATTTAAAATTCATTTCACATTAATTTGTGATTTATATTAATTTTTCTGTTATCCAGAATCATGGACCATGATACTGTGACTGCCCATGATGCTATTGGAAAGGTGAGTTTCTTTCTTTATCATGGCTCCAAGCTGCAACCCTTTTGGTTGCCACGGTGTGTAAGAAAAAAAAGTGGCTTCAATTTGGCCAAAAAGCTTTACTTTTCTTGGATTTCTTTTTTTATTACTATATTTGAAGTTTTGCCAAACTTTGTCTTTCTCTCCTTGTTTGTCCTAATATTAAGTCTTTACTAGATGTCCTTAAAAAAATTTCATCTTTTTCCCTGGTAACTGAAATGTTATTCCAAGAGAGAATTTTATTATTTCATGTCGCCAAATGGTCATTTTAAAAACAGTACTGTTGGGTGCCTTGTTGCAATTTTTCTTACATAAGCTGTGAAATGTAATTAATACAAGATAGCACTGCAAATGGAGATGGGTATGATCACCATTTTTCTTTTTTATCTCTTTTTTAAGGTAAATATAAGTCTAGGTCCTCTGCTAACGCAAGATCCACCAGGGAGTATTGATGGGTGGTTTCCAATTTATGACACAATGCATGGTATGTTCTTTAGTTTTCCAAGGAATAATTCCCTGAAATACCTGCAAAATATTTAAATCATAGTCCTTACAGTGGACTTCTTGTTTCACTCTGAGGTAGGGCTACACTCAAAACGTCAGCTCTGAAACTCTTTGTAGTGGCCAATTTACATTATCAACTTGAATGATAAAACAAAATTGTCGTTTTACAGCAGACGTCTGCCAAATATGTGATGCATATTATTTACAGCCTTCCAACCCTTTGCTCCCTAGGAGTGACAAGTATCTAATTTCTCCTTGCAATATCACCCCAGAATCAAACATTAAGGTCATGAGTTGTGAGAATGAAGGAAATGATCACCTACTAAAAGAAACTCTAGACTGTTGAACAAATTCTTCTTGAGCATCAGCAGCTTAGGAAATGAAAGGAGAACAGTATATAGAATATGGATACTGATTCTAGGGTATAAAAGGTTAACCAGCAGCAACTTCTATCAGTGGTAGATTTAAATACAAATATTGAAACCAAAAAAAAAAATAATTATGATCTTAGTAATGTGCAACTATTTTAGAAAAACTTAATATTTATTTCTGAATTTTTAGGCATTCGTGGGGAAGTGAGTGTTATTGTTAAAGTGGATTTTTTCGTTGACTCTAACAAGTTTCGACAGAGTTCATGCGGTGTGCAGTTCTTCTATAGTAAGTAGAATTCTGAAATGATACAACTCTTACATACTTCCACAGAATGTACAAAAGTAGAGGCCAAAAGACAGTGAAATTAGTATTAATAATAGTAAATTGATTAAGAAATCCCTTTATATATAATATGAGCAGACAATTTGCTCATATTAATTGGCCAGAAATTACAGTAAATGAATACAACCATTTTCAGCAGACCCAAGCCTTAATGTTCATTTTAACTAAAATTTGTCTTGCAAGGTTATGATATAATTAAAAGTATGAGAGAGGTTATCTGAATTTAATTGACAGTATCTAAAAATCACTTATCAAGCCCTAATCTTGCAAAGATATTTTCTGAGTTCCTATTAGTGATGATGTATCAAATTCAAGAATGCTAGCAAGGGTGTCTCAAAACATTACAAACTTTAATTTAGAGGAAGTTGTTTTTTCTTCTTGTCACAAGCATGAGACATGAGAAAAACTTTTGAGTCCCCATGAGGAATCGAACCTCAGACCTTCAGATTCTGTGCTCCGATGCTTTTTTCCACTGAGCCACAGAGACTCTACAGTGAGAGAGGTCTATTATGAAGTTCATATGACACAAGTCCTGCATACTTATATTTGTATCTTATATCTTATTGTATTGCTTCTTTTTACTGTATGAAATGTAATTTAAGGTAAGGGGCATCTAATTAGCTTGCTATATTATGCCCTTCTCCATCCTCTTATCTTACTTGTAATTATTCATTAGACTCTAATCTGTTGAAATGGAGGAAAAAATAAATACCACAAAAAAAAAAAAAATTATATATTCAGCAATGTCAATAGCCTCATGTTTGTAAATAGAATAAGAGAGATGTTAGGGCATTGGAATGCAGAATCTGAAGGTCTGAGGTTTGATTCCTCATGGGGACTCAGAATTTTTTTCTTTGTCCCTTTCTCATGACAAGACAAAAAAACAACTTTCTCTAATTCTTTATGGAGTTCAAAAAATTAAAAACTTACCATCTCTCTTATTCTATTTATAACAATAATTGTTTAAATACTTTATTGTTTAAATACTTATTTGGCGCAAATATCTATATGAATATATTCAGATGCGCCTTACAAGTTACATTAAAATAATAGTAAAATAATAAATCTAATATAATAAAACTATCCAAACCATATCTAATATATATAAGCTAACAATTACACAGAGTCAAAATGTAAAATTCTAAAAATAACAAGCATACGCTTTCCTAAAAAGATGAGTTTTCACTAAGGACTTAAAAACGTCCATTGTCTTAGCATTTCTAATATCATTTGGGAGACCGTTCTACAGTCCCAGAGATGCAACTTGAAATGCTCTGTCTCCCAATGTCTTTTTTGTTTTTGTAGCATTATAAGGTTGTAGTAGTAGCTGTGACGATGATCTTAAGTTATAATTTCGCATAATATTAATACTGCCTATTAATTTGTAGCACAGTGTAAAATTTGAGCTCTATATTTCAGCTTGTTCTGTCCCATCTGGCCATAAAGCTCTAGCTATTCATGGTTTTGTTGAGGAGCTGGTTGTTAATGATGATCCAGAATATCAGTGGATTGATAAGATCAGAACGCCAAGATCTTCTAATGAAGCACGGCAGAGACTATTTACCAAACTTTCAGGTTCATGAGATTCATTGATCTTCTGTGAATTGTAAACACTTCCACAGACTTTCTTACAGGAAAAAAATAAAATTAAACTTACATATATTTTGTGGAGTTGGACTCACAAAAATTATTGAAGCCAGGAGTTTCAATAACTTTTTCCACAAGAAACTGCAAGAGGTATAATAGGTTGCTTTGCCTGAAAAAGAAACTGTAAGGCCAAATGAAACTCAAGAGCCTGCTTGCAGGCGAAACAGATGGTAGTAAGATGTGTTTTAAGCGGCGGTAGACTACCAGATACTGGCTTTTATTGAAATCCCTGAGAAGTAAATACTTTTGCTATGAAGGACCCTTTGTTCATACTTTAACTTATCACTTACACTTAATATTTATTAGGTTATTGAACAAACTAATCATAAATGATCAATTAATGCAAATGCAGAGAATTAACCTTCCAAAGTGTAATTATGTATTATTTTTTCACTGGAAAATAACCAAGACCTGGTCATCAATTTTTTGCTAAATAGGAGAACTGCAAAGAAAAATTGGTCTTAAAGTTTTAGAGGCTGGAGGAAATGCTGTTATTGGGTAAGATGTTCACTTTTTACAAGAAAGGAAGTTTTTGTTGAGTTAAGATATGGTGCTTTAACTTAACCCTTTCACTTCAAAGATCTCACCAGTAATTCTCCCTTATTGACTCTCTCATACATTTTAATAATGTTCGTTGGAGAATCTGGTATTGGATCAAATAATAATCCCCACATGATATTTTTTGTTATTCCCATCACTTGTCTGCTTGATATTACCTCAATGCTGTGGGAGAAATTTTGTATTGGTCCTTCTTTGGAGTTATTGGGTTAAATCTGCACATGACTTGTTTTGATTATAAGTTCTAATATCTCAGCTAGTGTACTGTAATGCCCAGAGTGAAGCTGGCATGGGTTCATTGTTTTCATCTTGCTCTTTCACTTTCTTTTGGTCAGTTATCGGCAGTGTTTTGACCTGGAGGGTGAATATGGAATTGTAGTGCGAGGTATTGGGACTGCTGTGACACTAGCCAGTGTTCTTACTGCAGTGAGCGCCAATTCACGCCCATCAACACCTGTCCATCCATTAACTTCGTCAGGAGAAGTTGGTCCTGGAAGCCATGTCTCAGACTCAGGGTGAGTTGCTCGGTGAAGTGTGATGGTCCCTTAGTCTATAGTGCCCAGCAATCTTTCAGGAGAAGAAACTTTTGATATGTTATGTGCATAATCAATCAATTCAGTTGGAGGTTACCTCTGAGTTTTGTGTGCTTAATTACTGTGCATGGACCTTGCAATCTGTGAAAAATCAACACAGTAGGATACAGCAATCAGTGGTAGACAAATAAAGGGGGTAAGTTTCTACTGTAGAGAAACTGCAGTTGTGCTTTATCAGTGGAGGTATTACTGACAAGACAGTTTGGTTATATCAGCTGACAGAGTTGTTAAAATGTAAACAGGTTCAGGGAAAGAGTTTCTGAAGCTGATGTTTGGATCAAATAGAAGAATTGTGGATTGTGTGTGGTTTATACATAGAAAGATGATGCCACTCTGTTGGTGTAAACATGGTAACATGGAGGACATAAGTTAGAATAAATTGATGAATGAAAAGCATCTGTTGATACTGTGGAGATTAAGAGTACTGATTTTAATGATATATTTTTGTTCTGGAGTTTTACAATAATATCTCTATAGATGGAAATAACTGGGCCACATGGAAAATTTTTTTGGCCATCTTTCACTCTCTCTCTCTCTGAAATTTCAGCCTCCACCACCTATGATCATGATAATGATGTTGATGTAAATTGACCTCTTTCATTATGGCAGGCATGATAACATTATCATAAATTCTTTTATTTTCTTACAAATCAGTATTCTTGGCCTAATGCTTTGGAGCAAAAATTTTGTTGTTTTTAAGCATGTTACCAGTAATTGGAGACTAGAAAGGCGTGATCATATATGATTTTACATGATATATGAAAGAATATGTGAGGCGCATAATTTAGAGCTAAGGTTTGTGTGACATGCTGATTTTGATAAAAAATTTTTTTCCAGGTTTATCTTCCCAGAGACACAGCAAAGCTTACCAGTTCCATCTACTAAAGTTGTGACTCCCTCCCGTCGCCGTGTTTCATCTTCTGATTCTGATCCAATACCAGATTCTCCCCCAAAAGGTAAAATATATTCAAATGTAATATGGGCTCCTGATGGAAATTATGCCATAAGAGGATTTTTTTTCAAGAATTGTGAAACTCATTTTGAGTGTTACATGATACTGTGAAGACAATATTTTACATACCTGGTTTTTTGTTCATATTTAGACCGTGTCGCTCTTCTGGCAAGCAGTGCAGGAGTTGATGGTAGTGGTAGTAGTGCAGGGGGAACTTCTTTTCCCAGAGCTAAGGGAATTTGGCAGTCAGTCATTCAAAAACAGAAAACTGTGGAAGATCTGGTAATTTTACTACTAAGAATGTTAAGTAAAATTTAAAGAGAAATTTGGAAAATATTAGATTTGTACTGCTTAATGACTTATTAAGGGACTGTGTTTTTTTTCTATTTTGTCAAATGAACATGGTCAGAATAAGCTGATAAATGCAATTGTTTAAAGTTATATTTTCAGCCTCTCAAATGCACTTAGTGTTTTTTTTTTCTTCTCCTTAAATTGGGAGTGCAAGGAAAAAATATTTGCAGAGTGTGAGTTGCATTTAACATGCAGGACTGATTTACATGCAGCATGCTATAGATATTTTTTTCTGGTCATGTATGATGCAAGATTGGCATTGGCCTTGTGCTTTTCTACTTGTGAGTTATGTGTTGTGTACACTTGATACTCGTGGCTCTTCACACTTATATGCATCAGAATAGCACATAATACAAAGTGGCTGGACTTTCACAACACTGATGTTTGATGCATGATGATGCCAGTTTGTATATTAGACTGAATTACAGACTGAACCAATGAACTATATCTTGTAACCCTCAAACTAACAGAAGGGATTAAATATAATTATCTTTCTCCTCAATATTAAAACAATTTCAAGCAAATGCTGGAAGATGATAGAAAAACATGACATGTACAGGTAGAGGGTGTCATCTTGAACTAAAATCAAATTCTCTTCTAATATCACCTTGTTCTCCATAATCTTCTTAATACATTTCCCTTTGCACTTAGAAGGATAATTTGTATGACAATCACAGCTTCTAAGGTTGGCGATCATTTCCTTTATTCTCATGATCTTAATGAATAATTCAGTAGCATTACTTAAAGGAGAAATTAGATGCTGGTCACTACTGGAGTTTAAAGGGTTAAGTTACAACTTATAGAGGAGTTTATTTATTGGTATTTGGAGTTAAAATCCCCAGACATGGATGATGACTTCTGAGGTATATTATTTTACAGTGATTAATAAAAAGCGAAAAATATATTCATCTTTTAGTATGATACTTTTAATTTCAGGAGTTTCCTTTCTTCACCATCACAAAATTCCCTCCTGGTTTCCTGAGGCACATTGGTGGAGTTGTAACTGCAAGATCGGTGAAGCTTCTGGACAAAATCAATCATCCAGGTACAATTTGAAAACTGCAATTCAGAGTATAACAAATAAAATCTCTTTAGTGTAAAATTTTCTCTACCTATTTTTTTCAGCTTCCAAATCACTCTTTCCTCTGAATAGGTAATTTATCATACTGCAGCCATAGAGCATTATCTTGGTATATAATTTACAGTGAACTGCAGTATAAGCTCTGATATGGAATATTAGTTTGATTCTCTGTCTTACAGATGAACCAGAAACTCGTGATGCATGGTGGAGTGAAGTGAGAATGGAAATTCGATCTCATGCCAGAGCTCTTGCCTGTCATGCCGTGGTGGGATATTATGAAGTTACTAGCATATGGTGAGCTATTTTAACCCTTTCACTCCCAAGATCTAATTAGTAATTCTCCTTACTATCTGCCATACAATTCTTATGATGTTAGTTCAGAGAATTTGGTATTGGATCAACTAATAATCCCATGATTGATATTCTTCTCTATTCTCATCACCTGCCTGCTTGATATTGTATTGACATTGTAAGGAGAAATTCTGTCTTGGTCACTTGTGGGAGTGAAAGGGTTAACCCTTTACACCCTAACATCAGTGTCCATGTTCCATGCTCTTCTCTATAAATTTTGTTTGACATGGACAAGGAGAATTAACTTTTAACATTCAAAACTTCTTAGGCTGGCAATTATTTCCTTCAGGTTATTCTCATGATTTTAATGAATGATGCAGCAGTACTACTGTAAAGAGAAGTGAAATGTTGGTCACTCTTAAGGTTTAACCCTTGAACTCCCAAGATCTGATTGTTAATTCTCCCCTCTAGCTGCTTCACATTTCCTTGTAAATAAGTCATGAGAATTTGGTGATAGGTAAAGACTACTAACTTCTACCTGATAAGTTTGAGTATTCTCTTTACATGTTGGGTGGATAATGTGTGGATGTTACAAGGAGAAGTTACTTGTTAATCACTTGTGGGAGTTAATGGGTTAAAGGGTTTAGTCTTCTTCAGTACTTTTCATTCTCTCTTTTCTATGATATGTGTTGAACTTTCATTCTGTGACTATAACTATCATGATTATTGATACAGATGTTACTTTGCAGTGATGAGCTGATAGTGCTGTCAGCATCAGGAACAGCAGCATGTATAGATCTACAACTGGCCACAGGAGAACCTACTGGAGTTGGTCTTGGCATTCTCTGTATGTGTATGGTTACTTTAAGTGTACATTAGTAGAAAAACAAGTGAGCGAAATTCACATACTGATAGCATAGTATTTTGGGGTTAAAATGAATGTTTTAAATGCCATGATTAGTTTAGAGTGCAGCTGGGCCTTACAATGAGCAGCAAAACCCTAAGCGCACTCTACTACCTTTTGAATTTTCCTATAACTTTCACTTATCCCCACCTTTGCTCCATTTCAATATTTACTAGAGATAAGGAGGGGGACTTTCTAGAGAGGAATTGGAAGTTAGATTTCTGTTCATTATACTAAGTAGAGGGTTGTTGGCCACCCAGCAAGGGGAGGCATGTCAACTTCTTTTGCCACTTACCAAGCAGAACCACACATAATGTACTGATAAACAGCTTTGATGGGAAAAGAGCAAGCCATATTTAATGATTCTGGCTTACAGGTTTTGGCAGCTAGGAAAATTGCATTGAAGGTATTTTCTTGTATCCTAGCTTTTGTCTTCACCAGCAGCTAGCACTGCCTTCAATTCTAATTGCTGAACATTTGTTTAATTTCTTATTAGCACCAGTTGCAGAAAAAGGCTCAGCTGTACCATCAGGTTTGGCAAGTCACACAGAAAATGTAGACCCACTACAAGTGGATGTAGGAGATCATGATGGGTGAGTAGAATTGTGAGCTTGGCAGAATTTGACAGGGATGCTGGCTGACAAACTTTAGACAGAAAAGAATTATATTCTCTCTGAAATGATCTAACACATGCAAAAGGAAACTTTTAAAACCCTTTAGTATGGTCTAGAGATGATTTAACCTGGCAACTTATGTCACTCAGTCTGTTGGAAACTTTGTATATGCAGTTTTTAGGGTCCTAGAGATTCATCAAGAAAGGTAGATTAGCAAAAGTGAATATGATTTTTCTCTTTCACATTGAATAAACTCAGGTTGACATTTGGTGATGATCCCATGTCTACTTCTCCTGGATCTGGCTGTTCAATGTGCCACATCCCTTATTCTGATGTGGACTTACCATTTCCTATATCACTCACAAAATGTCAAGTTTGTAGGTAAGGCTCAGTAAAGAGATAATAAGATTGCTAACAAAGAGGGTTAACATATTGTCATTTTTGCATCAAGAATCTTGCTGTGCATGAAATAAGCCATGATTTGACCCTTTAACTCCCAAGATCTGATTATAAATTCTCCCCTCTAGCTGCCACACATTTCCTTGTAAATAAGATACAAGAATTTGATGTCAGATCAAGATTTTTTCATAATAACTTTGATCTGATAAGTGTGAATATTATAATCACGACCTGTTTGCTGGATAATCTTAATTTATTATAGAGAGAAGTTACTTGTTAATCACTTCTAGGAGTTGAAAGGTTAACCATTTTACCCCCAGGAGTGATCAAAAAGAAATATCTCCTAATAATATTGAATAAAAAGATATTCAAGATAAAGGGCGATGGGAAGAGAGGAAATTATAAATTTGGGAACATTGTTTGATTGACACCAAATTCTTGAGGCCAATATGTATGTATGGAGTACAGTGCAGAGAATTGATATTCTGATCTTCATTGTTGGGTGTTAAAGGGTACCAAATGGTTGGTGCATTTAACTCTTTGAAAGATCTGGCCTGCAGACCCGGTCTTCATCATTATGTTGTGCAAGCAAGACTCACTTTACCTCTCTCCACTCAAGAGTATAAATTGCTCATTTACTATTGATCAGGGGAGTTCAACCAAACCTGTGGAAAAATGAGTGGTATCTTGCCATGAACTGTCTGTATCCAATCCTGGCAGTGTTAGTTGTAATATTCCCTTGTATGGTATGATAAGAACACTCAATGGTACACTTTATTTTTATTAGCAATCACTTTTTTGTAGCTTTTAAACAACATAATCTTTTTTTTTCACACAGACTCAAGAAAGTTCCTGATGTAATATTTGCCACAACTGAACCACCAGTTGAATCACCCATTGTTGGCAGAGGTTGTCTACTCCAGGCTCGGTAACCATTTTGCACTTTTTTTAATTAACCAGATTTTAAAATTTATTGGATGAAAACCAAATTATACGAGATACTGTAACAGAATTAACTTACTGAGTAGTTTAAATAATTGATTTTAATAATTATATTAATAAAATTTAGGAGTTTCTGTGATTCTCAGTGCAGGAAGAGGAGATGTGAACTGTAAAATATATTTGTCCAACAGTACAATTTGAGAGACAAACTCTAGTTTCATTACAGCATATCTCTTAAAGCAAGTTAGCTGCCAATGTTGTTATTTATAGACTTGAGATATTAGGGTATAACCAGTTGTCATTATGTTAACTTACTCAGGGGTTAACCTTCACTGACTTTTGTTATGTGGGATGCTTGTGGCAAACCACTTAAAAAAATTTGCTTGTCTGAGTGCTTTCATAGTCAGATATGGAAATCATCCACATGCTTTTTGTGAAGTTGAAAACTGTCACATCACCTACTGGTATTTGACATGCGTGATGTCTTTATTTTGGTACATAAGTTAATCGGAAAAGCTCATTCAGATTTCCCAATGCAAAAATAATTTCCCCTCTCTGATTTACTGCATTCTCAGTTCTTATCACACATGATGTTCCTTAGCACTTTTACCTGATCCTTTATGATTCTTAGTCAGCTTCAGGGATCAGTGATATTTGCAACTTATCTTTAGTTCACATTTCACACGAACAGCAGCATTCCATGTAAACATCCCCAGACATCTTGTTGATATCACATTGAATGAATAAATTGTAGACCACAAAGATTGTTTCCCATGGTCCTAATATTATAGTCTTTGATGATGTTTATTATCTGATCTATTCCAGTGTTTGTAGAACAAAAAAGAAAGAGAAAGGTGAAGCCAATGCAGATATTGTTAGTACTGTAAGTAAATACACTGACTACATTACACATGCTCAACAGTTCAAAAACGTTTTTAACCTGTGGCTCATGATGTCTCTTCATACTCAGTGTCATATGGCATGTCACATTGAACCTTTTGATCTCAAGAGTGACCAGCATCTAGTTTCTCCTTACAACATCACCCCTGAATCATTCAGTAAGGTCATGAGAATAAAGGAAATGATCTCCAACTTAAGAGGCTCTTGATTGTAAAACAAATTCTCCTTGTCAGTGCCTAAGGAAATGTATACATATCAGTATGGAGAATATGCATACTGATGTAAGAGGTTAAACAATTAAAGATTGTTTTATGTATGCATTTGTTCAGGGAACTAGAGCAAGAGATAATTTTATAGTTATTACCCTGATATCTTCCAACCAGTTAATATCTTGTCAAGGGAACTATTTCAAAGGAGATTGTATTTTGGTTCCTTGCTTTACTTCTTGTACTTTATCATTGTATTCATGACATTGCCTCTCTACTTCCAGATCTTACCATTTCTAGAGTATGAACTTCACCAACAGCTGTTAAACAAACTTAAGGTAAGCTCAGCCATGTGTTTGAAGTTTTTTTGCCAACATCAAGTTGGATTGAGACTTCTTTGGACAGTCATAATGTACTAATAAGGCCTTGAGTATCTTTTTCCTTACTCCTCATTTTGGTTCATAGGAAAATAGTGTTTTCTGTTCTCATGTCTTAATTACTTGCTTTACAGGTTAAGGGGATGAATGCATTGTTTAGACTTCATCTCCAGATATCAGTAGGAGAGAGCCTGATCATTGGAACTGCAGTAAGCTCTTTGTTTTTTTCTAATAATAGAAAATAACTATTGACAGAGGAAATTTAGAGAGATGAGAGCCCTTTGCAGAAGTGATGCCCTTGACACTTGACCTTCACTTAGGAGGTTCTTGTTAGTCTTGGAACAATCTCTACTGTCATCATTGTAGTGGCTGTCACCAGTAGTGCTGTGTTAATTGTGGTTATACACAAGTTAAGTGATCTCACAGCTTTCAGTTTATGGTCTCCTCCAACTTGTGTAGCATCCTGCTCTACAATGTTCTTCCATTATTTACAGCATCTTGTTAGCTACTACTTTCCTCTCCTCAGCCTTCTGTTTATCATTTTGATAGCTTTGAATAGTCTTTTCCAAACCATTCACTTGATTCGATAATATTGGACATAGATTTAGAGGATTCTTTGAATTTTAACAAAGAGAATTGTTCAGTACAACAGAATTTAAAGAACAATTAATTTCAATAAATCCTTGACATAACAAGAAAACTTGAAAGCTACTTTTGCTAAGAGTTAAGTTTTTATTTCAAGGTAAGAGTATTATTGAAAACCCAATATTTGGTCATTTTATTGCACCTCCAGTAACAGGTGTTCATGTTAATTTGTACCACTTTTGGTACTGAGGTTCTTCATTAAATTTTTTCCCCTCCAGTCCTCTACTGCAGTTTTTCTGGCAGCTTTGCCTACACCACCATTACTGAAGATTACTGGACGGGTATGTTACTCAGTCATTTCATGCAGGTGTACATCAAATGTTTTACATTGTATAGCATTATTGCCTGATACATGATTGCAAGTTATATTGCCATCCATGTTGTTCTCTATACATTTTCAATGGTACAGATAAGGAGGATTTGTCTAAAAATCAAAAACTTCTTGCATTTGTGATCATTTCCTTTATTCTCATGACCTTAATGTGTAATTCAGGGGTGATACTGTTGGGAGAAAGGAGATGCTTATGAGGGTAAGGAAGGGTGTAGCCAATCCTAAGGTTTGAGGGTGGGGTGGCTCATCAGTGTGACATGGGTCATTGTATTGCAGTGACAACCATTAGTAGTCAATGAACCTAGTCCAAGAGCACTTTTAGCCCCAAAAATGATTAACTTGCAACTTCTCCTTGAAATTCCACCATGTTATCCTGAAAACAAGTAAGGAGAAGAGACAGTCCAATCATTTAGAGGGTATTATGTTTGTAACACCAAATTCCCCTCTTACTTACATGGAACTGTATGGTAGTCAGTTGGGAGAAAAATTTGGATCTTTGGGCCTTAGCAGCTTAATCCAGAGTTCAAGGGGATTCCTCTTTAGCACAAATGTTTTTCATTGATACATTATACAGAGGACAAAGCTAAGTTTAGCTCTATCTTGTTTTGTCATCTACAACAGCGTCTATCTGCTGAAGAAGATAAAAGAATTGCTGAGATCCAGAAACAAATTGTGGAAACAACCAACAAGAACAGGGCCACTTTCAAACTTACAGACACTGTGCATTTGGTAAGGATTTTAAACTCTTTAGTTCCTAGAAGTGATTGACATGTAACTTCTCCCCATAATATCCCTACATTATCCAGCAAACAGGCAATGAGAAAACTCAAATTTATCATGTAGAAGTTGTTATCTTGATCTGTTACTAAATTCTTGTTACAAATTCACAATAAAATGTGTAGCAGCTATAAGGAAGAATTAACTATCAGATCCTCCCATTTGCTTTTTTTTGTGCACCTGCGATCCACCCCACATCAAGTGCATCAAAACACCCACAGCCAGATAAAGAGCCTTGCTGCTGCTGCTGCAAAATTGCGTTAAAGTTTTTTGTGAGTTCTTCTTGTAGCTTGGAAAACTCCTGAGTAGAGTCATGCATACTTTGTTGGATTGGACCTATCAACTTGATAATTTCTCAAAATGTCTAAATCATTTTTTAAAAAAATGATTAAGAATTAACAAATTGATTCTCAGATATGGGAGTGGTATGTAGAAAGAGTCTAAATTATGCCAATGGTTTTTGGTGGCTGAAGTGTGAAGAAGGAAATTAAGTAGGTGTCTATTAGCTACACTGATTTATAAACATCCTCACCTTATTCCATTTGGTCTGTAATTTCTGTAATATTGTTGTCTTTGTGTCGCAACTAAAGACGAGCAATTTTAGGTGCACAATTACTCACATGCATTGGTTTTTTCAAAGGCTAGCTTTGTCATTGGTTGTCTAAACAACAGATAAAAAGTAACATAACATATAGCAGCAAATTCTGTCAGTGTTAATTCTCAATATCAAGTGAAAACTGAATCCAATCATGACTATGGTATCTTACTGGCATTCCCAAAGGTGATAACCAAGAATACTAAAGTGGATAGATCATTTATTAGTGTTGCCCCTTGACTTCAGAATATTCTCCTGAGTTCAATATGATCTATTTTTAGTTTGAATATATTTTAAAAAAAACTTTAACTATTTTCTTTTAAGGAAGGCCACAATACTTTTCATTTTAAGTCAGTTAGTCCAGATTCATTAATAATGAAAAAATTTAATATGCATCGTCATGCACTGTTTGAGAAGCTATTTTTAAAACTTTGAAATTGTAATTTTCTAGCCTTTCTTAATGTGTTATTTCAATCAGACATTGTAATAAGGCACACTTGAATATGTGACTGCATAGAACCTGGGTAGTATAAATCTCTTTTAGATATTAATAATTATTATTATTATTGTAAGTTATTATTTTAATTAAATATGAGGAAATTTTACTTGCAGCACACTCCTAAAGCAACACCACCTCCCAGTCCATCACAGAATGCTCAGTCTGTTCTCGTGGCTGATATAGACCTGGATGAGGGTCCTAAGGCAGAGTTAGACTTGTGCACAGGGTCCAAGGATGCATATGTTGTAGAGGTAAGCTGGATGTCAGGGCTCTCAGTCCCAGGGTTAACCTAGTTGTATTTATTTTTGTTCACAGTGCTCCAAGCTGCAACAGAGTTTGTTGTATTCAGCAAAAATTGTGTCAATCAGATATATCACTCAACCCTTAAACTCCCAGAAGTGATAAGCATGTAACTTCTCCCCATAGTAACTGTACAACATTCAGCAAACAAGAAATAAGAATACTTAAACTTATCAGGTAGAGGTTGTTATCTTAGCTTGATCTAATGTCAAATTCTCATGTTAAATAATTTACAAGGAAATGTGTCAGAGTTATAGCATAGAATAAACAATTAGATCTCTAGATTTCATTGGTTAAGTCATTAATTTGGCCACCCATATCCCAAGGTCATGTAACAAGCTTTAATGTTATTATTTCTTAGTATGAGTGCAGAGGTAAACATTTGTGTTGAATATCATACATACATTATCATTTTCTTTAATTTATACAGGTTTGCTTCTTTGTTTCCTTGATTGTGCAACCACTATAACCCATGAACCTTGTCAATACTTTAATTTTTGGTATTTCCTTATTATTCTAAAATTTTGGAGGCATGCCTGCACACTTTCAGAATATAACATCTGCTTGTTAGGTTGATGACAAGAAGGATGAAGATGTGGTGGCTGTTTTGCTGGATGAGCCAGCTCCTGATGGTAAGTGTAATGTATAGACAAGGCTGAAATTAATGTGGAAGCAGCCTAAGTCATGCTCAGCATTCCTGATCTTACTTATGATCCTCTGCAACATACAAACATGCATGCATGAACTTAGCAGCAGCTTTCTTATGGCTAGCATGTGAAATCAGGAGGTGGGGAACTGAGTTTTGGATGGTCAATTTTTGTGTTCTTGAGCAAGATACTTTAATTTGTAATAGCTTCAGTGCCCCTTTGCATCCCAATAGTCCCAACCCCTTATGCCCAAAAATTTATTTATATTCTCCACTCCAACCTCTTTATATCTCACATAAAGTCTTGGTTTACTAACGAAGATACTGGCACTTTTGATTGTCAGTGTATCTTTTTAATTTGATTAACACCTTCCCCTTCCTAGGTTGCTATTCCTGCAATACTGAAACACTACCTGGTGCAGTTCATCTCAAATCAGGAGTAAAGGTACAAGTTA